ATGTCCACATTTCAGAGCCTGGCATTAAGAAGTCGTTCGGTCTTTTTCAGGATTCGTATTACTACCTTTTGAAAAGATACTTGGAGTCGATTTTGCCGGGATGTGAGGCCAAATCACAATACCTACAGTTGATCCACAGAGTTCAAGAGCTGCACTATCTCAATGAGAACCACGTTCGTGTGTATCTGGATACGAATCCGAAAGAAGTGGAGCCGTTGTTGATAGAAATTTTCGACTTGATGCGACATCAGTCGTAAATTATGCAGTCGCGAATTGGTTTCTTGTTTACGCCACGATTGGTGCAGTTTGTTTTTGTTTTGATGTGAGTGTGTTGGATAGTGGAACTCACGTAAGTTCCTCTTATTTTTTTCTGTTAAGGTGTGCTGTAATGCAGAGATGATTCCGAGAAGAAACAAATATGGTCTTTTCTAGTCTTAGCGGTGCAAAATATGGGATTTAATATTGGGAAGATTCGAATTCAGCCGATTTTTTCGCGTTGAAAAAAGCCGTTCTAAATTTTTTTTTTCTTCATAATTTATATATATATTTTTTGAGCAACAATCGAATAAGCTCGGTTATTCTGAAACGGGACTTCTATAACAGTCTCATATCAGCATCCTTCTTTTTGGGGGATGCGACATTTTTTTGTGGTTCTGTTGAGAACTGCGTGGTAAGAGGATATTTGACGATGATTTCATTTTTCGATGTGAATGGGTATATTTCTGCTGAACCCTTTGGATCATATTGGTCGATAATTTAGACGTTTCGATGTGATTTTTTTTTCTTCCTGGACGGGAAGTAAACGAATGTGTTCTTACACTTATTTTTTCATTCATCATACGAGGGTTGTCCCAGTTTGACGCGTCCTAGGATATTTCCAGAGTAGGTGTAATTCTAGAATATCTTGACAGAGCCCATGATGTTCTAATTAAGTTTCCAGGATTTTATTTTGTAAACATCTTCCAATGGAAAAATTTTCTGGTCACATCCCCAGTTTGCCGCACATGTCAAAGCTCACTAAAATTTGACAGGCTAACGAAGAAATTGATTTTTTTGTAATGACTATTTTTGGAACTGTGAATAAGGTAGTGGGAAAAACAAGGAACGAAAACTTCCCATTTTTCAGCTGACCAGACATGTTCTACATCCCAGTGAAGTCTGAGTGCTTATCTAACATGTGAATGTGTATAAGATCTATGGATAAGGCTCCAGCACCAATTATGTCCACATCCATGGATCCATTTGAATTCAAGTGTTCGGATTCATTTGAATTGAAGAGAATGGTTGAATGCACTTCGAATTTTTTATTTGACAAAAAATAATCTGATGCACTGCAGCAGCAGTCTTCCTATTTTTGATGATTGAATGTGGAACCCTGATTTGCTAGACTGTACACCGGCAACCAGAAGGAAGTCTGCATCATAACCCAGACAAAATAGAGGGGACTATATTGGATTCAATTGAACATCAAGTACAGTGAGACCCCCAGATCCAGACAAAATTGGTGCATCAGGAGTGTCCCTAAGTTGAGTCTTGGAAACTATGTGTTGGAGTGCATGAACCCCCTGCCTGGTCAAAAAAAAAAAACTGGGGGCACCAAACAATTTCTCAATGTCAGAGAAGCTTTGACTTGTGGACCTCTGGAAGAAGTGATGAAAAAAATAATACAGTAGTCCAGCATTGAGGACTTTCTGGTTCAGTTTGACCCCAGTATAGTACAGTGCAGGGTATGGAAGAGGAAGCTGAAAGAAAACTGCGCGAGACGAGGCTTAAGCTGTCCTGGAATGCTGACCAACACTTTTTTTAACAACTGCTAGGGCCAGCTACCCGGGAGTTGATAAACTTATTCTTTCCTGATGAATTGACCCGATTTCCTACTGTTCCATTCAGCAGGAAAGAATAAGTTCGTTAACTGGGGGGTAGCTGGCCCCAGTTGTTGAACCCAAGCCTGGTTCATGCACTACCTCTTCAGGAACTCACAGTTTCTAAAAGGCTCAAAATGATTTTGCATGGATTTGGCAATGTACTGAACATTCTTCAATGGAATTTAATGAGGAACTGGAATATGGATGGAAGAACCTCTTCAGGAACCCACAGTTTCTATTAAAAGGCTCAAAATGTTTTTGGATGGATTTGGAAATGTACTGAACATTCTTCAATGGAATTTAACTGTAACTGGAATATTAAAGGTACTGGAATATGGATGAAGTCTGAGTATAGAAGTAATTCATTTGGCTATAGCAATTGAGGCATCAACTTTTTTATTTTGACAGGTTAGAGACAACAACACAACAAAGTTTTTCAGAGCTGTACAATTATAACAGAGATGACTTTATTATAGGTCTGACCCATGAGAATAGACAAGGCACAGACTAAAAAACTCACAAGGTCTTATTGCCCATGAAAATTAACATGGCACACAGGTATAAAATTGGGAAATTCTACGTGGCACAGCTTTTAAGAAATTATTTAGGTCTGTGCCTCAAAAATAGACATGGAAAAGCCTGTAAAAATGAATTTGTGCCATGAAAATAAAAATTTTGCACATGGACAAAATTGTGAAATTCTGTACATTGCTTGTGAAAAATTACATGGGCTGTGCCACAAAAATAGGCCCAGCATAGAGAGATGTGAGTTATCAAGGTTCAACTGCATTACATTTTGCACTAAAATTAAGCCTTTCTTTCAGGATAGGCCATTTTTCAGATTGGAATTGACCTACAGCAAAACAGCTATTTTTGCTATACACTGTCCCCCTTGTATTATTTGTATTCAGATACCAATTAAAACATGCATTTGATAATAAAATATACCACCAGTACTTTTAATATCACTCTTTTTTCTGAAAATAAGACACTGGAATTATTTCACATTTATCTGCTGGTTTCCCTTGTGTGGAAGCTTTCCTACTGGATGTGAGGCAGACTAATTCTATTCCCAGCAGAATGCATTTCAAACCAAAACTTTGTCTGAGAGGTCCCATATATATACTGTACTCAGTGGAATAATTTATGACATAACCTGCTAATTTAAGGGAGTAAGTATGGTCAATATTATGATGTGTATATGCAATGCGCCGCTGAATAGGATGTTGGATTGCAGTACAAAATCCTGAAGAAAACGCAAAACGGGATCCTTATAACATGCTCCCATTGCTTGGTGTGACATCCTGCCAGCCTGCCAAGATGCTCCGCACCGCAGTGGGTATATAGGGGTCCTCAAAGCTGGATAGATTTTCAACTGTTCTTGAACTGACATCTGTTGATGGAGGACGACTGTGGGACGACGGACAGGGCGGAGCAGTGGCCGCCAGCTTCCCTTAGCCAGTCCATGCTCGGGGATGCGCAACGGATTTTTGAAAGTTATGCCCAGTCTTACCAACGCCACCATTGGAAAACCGGTCTCGCCTTTTTCTCTAGGTAACACCTCACTTTTGGCCACGATTTAGGCTCGGATGCTCATACGTGTAATATTTTCCAACCTATTTCCGATTATTCTCACCGACATGTTCAAAACAGTTTGCCAAGCTTGGATTTGTATTTAAATGAAAATAGGACGCCCCCGTCCAGCCGGAAAACGCGAAGATATTGATACCAATATTGCGCATTTCATAGGACAAGGATGATTTCTGGACACGTTTTTATCTCTAAAACATGATCAAGAATTTAAAAATAAACGAAAGGAAAAATAAAGTTGAAAGCATTCCTAGCCCACAGATATTCCTTTCAAGTTCCAGCAGAAACGCGGTTTTCGCTTTCCCAGCAGACTGCTGGTGGGCTTAGCAAACGGGACGGTGTGGCAGTCAGGTGTGTTACCAGGTCCGCTACTTTCCACAATTACTGGTGCTGCTGGTATAGTGGGAAGGAAACAGTTTTGGCAGTGTTATGGGGAATAAACATTTTTTTGGTAACGGTACTGCTAATTTTGGTAGTGGTCTCTGAAATTTTTCAAGCATATCTCCCACTACAGTAGAATCTCATTATGTGTGACAAATCTTGTTATAACGAATTTTTGCATACAATGAATTTGTTTTCAAGTCCTAGCAGTTACCCTGAAGGTGTAGTTTAAGTTTATCTTGTTTTAACAAATTAATTTTTTACAAGCTCTCTGGTTACAACATATTTTTGTCCCAAATTTTTAAAAAGTTCCCATAATTTTTGCTCTGATTTTTGAATTTTTCTCTCCTGAATGTTTGTACAATGCCCTGTTTCCTGGGGCTCATCAGTATATGGTGGGCAGGAAATGTCTCTCCCTCAAGCAGAGTTATAAAAAACAGGTAACTAAAAATATGTTACATTAATGGACAGTAGGCTCATGAAATAAATGTACCCTGATTAGTTTATCTATTGTCTAAGGAGTCTGGAAGCATAGTGCAAACTTGGAGCTGGGACCTCCAAGAGCCACCAAAATCTATGAATTTTATTCTGATGCTCTTCTGTGTTAAGTTTTATTTTAAATTTTTAAATTCAGCAAAAGTTTTCAATTATCTTAGTGAAACAATCATGTTTTCAAGTTCCTAAAGCAAGTGGGAGATGTCTTAGTGAATTCTGTGGCAAAGAAAATTGCACAGAGTAAAATCATTGACTATTTCAAGCATTAAAATGCTTTTTAACATGTTAAAAATAAGTACAGTACATAAATCTCAATATAAGAAATTTTTTCCTGGTCCCTGGGAGTTTGTTGTATTGAGATACTAATATATATATATATATACATTTTTTTGAGCAATGCTCACTTTTCACTGATGGATAAAAGCAAGCATAGTTTCTCCATATTTTTACATGGAAATATTAAGACTCCAAATTTCTAATGCTTGAAAAAAGTTCCCAGAATGAATCCCCATTTTTGAAACTTTTCTTCTAAATAAAGAGGAGCATCTTCTTAACCACTGTTTGATTTTACAGCAATCAAGCTATGATGATATTTTTTGCCTTGGTCAAGAGGATTGAGTTAAAAATATGCATAGCTGCTTAAATTTTCTTTGACTGAATAAGTCATTAATCTTGCTTCATAATGTCTTCAAAAGAATCACAGGAGCATTTTGAAAATATGTTTTGCTTGCCTGAAATATCAAACTGGACACTAGCAATGTTTTGGGTAGCCGATTATTTTCATGAAATTGAATTATTTACCTGTCTCTGACATGCATTTATTATTTACCCATTGAATGTAGCAAACTTTTATTTGTTCTTGTTTCCTATAAATGCACATGCTGAAAAAATTATCAACTTCAAACAACCTGCTCTGTATGGTACTGTTAAATGCTGATGTGTATAGGAAATGAAGTTGAATAACTTTCATAAAGCATACTTTTTCACTGCTTGCATTTAAGTGATCAAAAGACACAATGTGTGAAATTGATTGTTACTCTGTGGTCCTATATTATATCTGTGTACAGTACTGCTTTTTCTTTCTGACTTTTTCCATGCAGATAATAGTTAGATTTCATGCTTATTAATCTTGCCTGTTTTCAATTTTTTGATTTTGGCTTTCAAAACTAGCGTTTCATTTAAATATCTTCTAGGGATGGATACAACTTTTTTGTGTTTATTTCAAAGTAAACCTCTATAGTTCTTGCAGAGCTTCTCTAAATTAATGTAAACAAAACTATATCTCGTCTACTATGCATTTTTTTGGCCTGGAGAAAACTACTCAGTCTACGTGTTTATTATACAAATATTTATAAAATTGTAGAAAGAAAAAGGAAATCAGGTAGGTTGATCAGCTGGTGTGATATTGATAACATGCATTTTCAATTGTTAGGTTGGAAAGAAAAGCAGGATTTGATAGCAATTTTGAGTGGGCAATAAAATTACACAAAATTACAAAATTTATTATTTTGAGTTGGGAATAAGTTTTTAGAGAAATTGCTATCGGGAGTATAGTGGGCTATTAAATTTTTGATTGCCATTAACAACCCCTGAGGAAAACCCCGCTATATAGACACTCTTGCCTCTTACACCGCCGCATTCCCCTCCATTTTCGCGTGAGTCGATAAAGGAGCAATGGACGGGCGAGGGGAAAGCCGGTGTGGACGGCACAGCGTACTCCCCACATCGTACTGCAGGCGTAGTGTACTCCAGTGTGTGCTATGCTGTCTGCTGGCTTGTCTATTCAAATCCGCGGAGTGACAGTTCCACGGTGAAATGCAGTATTTCATTCAACAAAATTCAGAGGAAACTCAATTCCATGGTGTTTTGAAGCGGCGTTTACTGTGGCAAACAAATTTTGAATTTTTCCAAAATATATTTTCACAGAGGAGGCCTTGTTATAGATCATGATGACGCAAAATGAAGTAAAGTTTATTATGAGGTGTTGAAGCATGATGGTACAGGTGAACCTCAATAATACAAATCTCCCTTAGCTGAGTCAAGTTGAAATTTTTTCAAGTCTCTGTCTGAATCCCCTTAGAATCAATAAATTGAAAACCTCCCTAACTCAGTCTTTTTCACTAAAACCTCTGTAAGTCAAATTTTCTGAGGACTTCTGGTTATTATTTCCTTAAATAGAATGAAAGAGAAAATCAGTAAAACAAATGATTTAATGCATCTTGAAACAAAGTGCATGAAAGACTAGTGGAGCAAATGAACCCCTTGCCTCCAAGTTCAGCAAGTGTAAACTCATTGAGGGGTAAGTTTAGGCCCAGAACATCCTCATTTAAAATTTCCAACACTTTTTTTCACTTCTCCTCACAACAAAAGTGTTTGTTTTCTCAACTGGAAACTACCTCCAGAAATTAAAACCTCATTATAATTCAAAACCTCCTGAATTTGTCCCTGGTCCCTAGAAATTCAACTTACAGAGGCTTCAACTACAGTTTAAAATATTGTTTTTGTTATCTTTTCTAGTTGCATTCATGATAGTTTAGGTTAGGTGGGATATACAGTTAAAGCATGGTAAAATATAGTTCTTGTTGTATTTTCTAGTTGCATTCATTTTTGAACGATTTTATTTACCATGCTTTTATACTTCTCATAAAAAACTTCGCAAGCACTGTGTGCCGTCATGGTCTATACAAGGCCTCCTGTGTGAATATACTGTATTTGCGCAGAATTCATAATTATTTTTGCGAAAGTAAATGTTGCTTCAAAAATCGCTGTGGAATCAACTTTCCTCTGAATTCTGTGCAAGGAGCCATCACTGCGTAAGTGCTCACTGCAGAAAAGCCTCTGCAGAGTTGCACTCCGCAGATGTGGACTAATCTTCCTTTTGGGGGAGTATAGGCTGTGCCTGATGGGGAGTATGCCCTGCCTGCCACACCGGAACGTCGTTAACGTTATGGTGAACGCGTTGGTAACCCTTCAAAGGGCCAACGGACGGTTAGTGCGGATTCCCGCGCTACCGGCTTTCTCTACACAACGCAATAGGCCGCCATTACCCCACGGTTCATGCGGGAATTCGTGTTTGACGCTGGAATTCGCTATTCCCGTTAACTGTTGAATTTTATAGTGGCTGATATAATTTCGTGTTCGAAGACGTTATTTAAAATTCCCCTCTTTCCGGCGCTGACGATTCTTGTGAGGTGCGTCGTGGATCCGAATAAGTTCTCGCTGTTTTTGTCGTTTTCCAGAGCGTTCATTCAATTCTATCGCTCAATTCACCATGCCGCGACCTTCGAAGGACGAATCCAAGCCCAACGATTCTCGTGAGGTGCGTCGTGGATCCAAATAAGTTCTCGCTGTTTTTGTCGTTTTCCAGAGCGTTCATTCAATTCTATCGCTCAATTCACCATGCCGCGACCTTCGAAGGACGAATCCAAGCCCAAGGGGCGCATGTCCGCATACGCGTACTTCTTGCAATCCTCGCGGGAAGAACAGAAAAAAGCTAACCCTGACGAAACGCTCTCTTTCACGGAGTTCACGAAGAAGTGTTCCGAGAAATGGAAGGTTAGTTGAGTGGACGTGTGTGCGGAACTCCTCTATATTGACCGTATTTTGGATTTCATCTAGAAAATCTCTGACAAAGAGAAAACCAAGTATCACAAGATGGCCGAGAAAGACAAGGCTCGTTACGATGATGAAATGAAAGATTACATCCCACCGGCCGGCGGGAAAGTACGCGGGAAGCGTAGCAAGAAGGATCCAGCTGCGCCCAAAAGAGCCCTGTGAGCATCTCATCGCACTTCGTCACTGAAACTGTCGGCACATTTTACAGATTTTCACACGTTATTGTAGGTCCGCCTTTTTCTGGTTCTGCGATGGAGAACGCGCAAAAATCCGCAAAGAAAACCCCGGCTCCACCGTGGGAGATGTCGCCAAAGAACTTGGAAGAAGATGGGCCCTCTTGAATGACAGCGATAAGGTTCCTTTCCAGAAGATGGCAGAGAAGGACAAAGTTCGATATGAGAAGGTCAGTTTTGTTGCGGCGCATCATCAGTAGTACCAATCATACGATTATGTATCGAAAGCTGCAGTGAATAATCGATCGGCAGTGCCGCTCAATAGTGCTCTGCTTTAATGAATTTACAAACTTATTCCCTTTGCTTGATAGGAAATGGCGGAATTCAAGAACGGCGCCGCCAAGTCTTCCCGTGCGCCCAAACCCAAAGGCAGGAATGAACCCGTAGATGACGATGATGAAGAAGAAGAAGAGGAGGACGAGGAGGAGGATGAAGATGAAGATGATGAGTAAATTTTGTATAAGACTGAGTTGAGTTCGACTTTGGTGTCGCGAAATGTTTGCGACTCACCGGCTGCGGAGAAAATGAGTTTGTCCCTATCTCTCGTAATATGTGGATCCGACGGAGATCCTTCGCTGTTTAAGCATCAACTGTAACAATACCCTACATGACATGATCTCTCATCAGTTGACCGCGAGTTATTTTGAATTTCTTTTTGGAGATCGTTCAGTTTTTTTTTCTGTTTTCGGATTCGATTTTCTTTCTTGTAAGGATAATGCGACCAGCGGCAAATGCTTCTGATTCCGATAGACCGGTTATACATTTATGTGGAATGCGAGAGGCTGCTGTTTTCGTTTGAAGCGAATCTTTCAGAGTTCTTCGAAATTTATCGCGACCGATTTCTTCAATTTTGATCGGTTTTGTAATGAAACTGGTGTCTTCGTACGCCCATCCGACGATTACCTGTTACCCTCGTCATCTGTTTTTCTTTGACTCTAGTTCGTCTTAATTTGCAGACTACTTCACTTGTGTGATATCGGACCGTTACACTGAATACTTCTGTAAATTTTCATTATTTTTTTACGTGGATTCGAAAAGTGAAAAATGCCGCGAGCTGCCAAGGATGATAAGCCGAAGGGCCGCATGACAGCCTATGCCTTCTTCCTGCAAGCGTGTCGCAATGAACAAAAGAAGAAAAACCCTGAGGCGACTGTTGTTTTCACAGAATTCACGAAGAAATGCTCTGAGCAATGGAAGGTATGTTCAATAGGAATCTTATTTTGAACAGTCGACTCAATGATGATTTAATGTCTAGAAAATGAGCGAAAAAGAGAAGGCGAGATTTCAGAAATTGGCCGCTGCCGATAAAGACCGGTACAATTCCGAAATGAAGAACGCGCCGAAAGGGACTGCGAAACGGGGGAAGAAGGCGAAGAAGGACCCGAACGCTCCGAAGCGTTCGATGTAAGTGCCTTGATTCTCTGTCATCTGACATTTATTTAATTGATCTTTTTTTAACAGGTCTGCTTTCTTCTGGTTCTGCGACGAGGAGCGCCCGAAGGTCCGTAAAGAAAACCCGGGCTGGCCTGTTGGCGAGGTTGCAAAAGAACTCGGCCGAAGATGGGCTACAGTAACTGCCAGCGATAAGGTCAGATTCCAGAAAATGGCAGACAAAGACAAGGATCGTTACGGAAAGGTTAGTTGGATTTTCATGCATACTTCCGGGATTTTTTTTAATGTGCCGCCTCCATCGTGAACCTGTCGGCCCTTTAATACAAGTTAGATGACAATACTTGATTATTAAATTGCGGATTCGACTGTAAGAATGAATAACTAAGGTAACGTACCGTGCTTGAGCTTCTGTGTATTTTTTCTGCTTCAGATCAATTGGTATTCTCTTCCTCTGTGATGTAATGTATCTGAATTTTATAGGAAATGGCGAGCTTCAAGAAAGGAGGAAAACCCGCGAAAGCCCCTGCTCACATCGACGAGGATGACGAAGAGGAGGAGGAGGAAGATGAGGGGGAAGAGGACGACGATGATTTGGACGATGACTAGGCGTTGTGAAGTCCTCGGGCTTGGTCCGACTTGACGCATGCTTGCGGCGAGAAACACCTCTTTAATTTTGTACAACGTGAAGGTTGGGTGTATGATTTGTTTTTACGTTGTGGTGTTTTTATACGTGGATCTCGTTAGCCTCCCAGGCGAAGCACTTCTGACTTCGTGAGCGTTTGTAGAGAAAGCGAAGAAAATATCGTTGTTTCCTGAGCTGTTCAGTATCAAAAGAGAAACTTCGCGGGTCGTTTTGAAATCTTGCCCGACTTCCGTTTTGTTAATAAAGGCTCGACGTTACGGCTGTCGATTCCAAAATGAAATTATTTCGTCTAGTTCTCATTTCCCGGTTGGCTGATTTCATCTCTTCCTGTTGTGTGACTGAAACGAGAGGAAGCTGTTCAGATCGACGGATGAGACATGACTCATTGAGAGTCTAATCAAGTTAATAATATGCGGTAATCTCGATTCGGAGTCACGTGACAGGTCTCGCGAAATTCTTTCTTCTTTAGTTGTCTGATGATGATTTTTGTCCCAGTCTCCAGATGATGACCGGAGGAAAGGGTTAGTGAGATCTTGTACCGATTTAAAGGAGTCGCGTGAACATGGAACCGAAGGCGCATTCTGCGATGGACACAGTTTTGACTCTAATACCAGCTTCGCACGGGAAAGCGGTTCGCTCAGCCTTCTACAACACAGTTGCGTTTGCAATTTTAGGGACCATTGCCGTGGTTGCTGGATCAGTTTACCTTTACGTCCTGCAGCCGTATCTCCGGCCGTTGCTTTGGGCCGGATTGTGTGGCAGCGTGCTTCATCCCGCGAAGGTTTGATTTCGTTCCGGCTAATGCTCGTAAACTTAACTTGGTTTCATAGATATTTCACACAGTTTTCGAGTAAAGCATCTCCTTCTACACGTCCACTTGAACACGGTTTCAGGAAGTCCATAAAAGCTGTCAATTCTTTTACCCGGAAATTTCGGATCCAGCGATATTCTTGCCCAGTAATTCACTAAATGACCTTTTCAAGATCCTCGTATGATAATGTAATACTGTACTGTATTCCGACTTCTGCCACTGTATCCCTGTGAATGTTTTCCTCACCTTTTTGAACGCAACCTGACGTGAATTGTAATTGAAACTTGCAGTTGTTGGACAAAAATGTCTGTCGAAAAGGACACTGATGGTATTTCTGGATCTGAATCATGTGTGAACCTGAATAATCTGGGTGAAGGAAATTGATTATCGGTGTAAAGGTGGATCGGTTTTATACTGCAATGAGTTGAACGACCGAAATAATCTCATTGTTCTTGTCTATTATGTGAAGGTCTGCGATTTGTCACATGCTTTTCGATAATGAGATGAACTTCGTGGTATTTTTCAGCCGAAAAATTCGTGTGACTTGGAAATTCATTCCGTTGCCTTGGGCTGGATTATCAAATGTTACGGTTTCTCTTAATCTAATGTCCCGATTTCTGCCACTGTATCTTTGTTAAGTTTTTCCATAGTTCTGAACGGAACCTTACGTGGAATCCCGTTGAAACAATTGAGTTTTGAGTTTCACGAAATTGTCCGAAGAAATATAATTTTATAGTATGTTTGGCTCTCAATTGTGTGTGAAGTTCGATTACCCCGGTGAAGGAATCCGGTGATCGGTGTAAATATGAATATTTTCTACTACAATGAGTTGAATGGCCAAAACTTTCAAATTGTTGTTCTCATTTTATAGTATCTGAAGGTCTGCGGATTGTCCGATGCTTCTTTAAAAGTAAAGCGGATCCGTGGTATTTTTCAGCTTGGAAATTCATGGGGCTTAGTTCCGCTTGGGTTCTAAAATTTGATATGAAAAACCTCGGAAGTATTCGTTAATACTGTACGGTGAAGGCATTTCCTAGAATACTTCATTATCATTTTCCAGGTCGGTGGTTCAACAGTTTTTCTGCGAAGTAAAAAATCGATTGCAGACATATTCTTGACGTATTGTATGAAAAATTTAACGTTGAATGTCTGCAGTTTCAATCAACTTCAGTGATCTTTAATGGGGTGAATATTTGAAATCGGGATTATTTTGTGGGTACAGTTTTTTGAAAATTACATAATAGGCTGATTATGATGCGACTATTTTCGTTTTAAAATTTAAAATAAACCTAGAAAGCTTGAAATTCGATGAGAAGCCCGAATCATGTGGGCTGGAGAATTTTTAATCTTAAGAGTTAAATCCTAGACTATTTTGTGCTACTTTTCTTTACCTTTCAGCAAAGGAGAAACAACGTGGGCGTGCAGTTGATGTTCTGTGTCTATCTTGCCCCCCCCCCCTTTTTTTTTTGTCCTTTTGATGCGAGAATATGTGTATATTCCCGAATTTGAATTGATTCGAAATTTTCCAAGTTTTCTCCTTCGAAAAAGAGGTTTCCCGGGCAATAAAAGTGACTGATGTCTCGGCAGGAGCGCTTAGCGACTGGCTTAAAAGCTTGGATCAGCGTCGTTCAGGAGTCTCGGAAGCCCGCTGTATTCGAAGTGATTTGCGTGCCTTTCGTCGTGATCGACGGCGTGTACGAAGCCTTCAAGCAGGTCATGTCCACGCATTATTACAAGTGCCTGATAACGACCGTCGGGTTTTCGGCAAGTCTCCTTTTGTATTACCTTGCTCCCGAAGATATCGCCAACTTTTTGGACGATGTTTATCAAGCCTCTGTCATGTCTCTGACGCGACGAATAACTGCTTTCTGGCTTTATGTGGTGAGTGGGAAGATATTCTACTTTTCCATTGTTATCCTTTCTTGTTCTTTCGATTCTTGACATCGAATGTACTTCTGTAGTCATTTCTGGACATCAGACATGCCAAAACAAGGGTTCTTGAAACATTTTTCAGCTTCGTGTCCACCGTCTTATCTATTAAGAAGCCGGTGCTAACGTAAAGTTAGAAGTTTTTTTCGTCAAACATGAATGAACTTCAAGAGCTGCATGTTAGTTGACTTAATCAGTATCTATGGAAAGGATTCTTTTGGACGTTTTTCGTGAAATCCGTATTCTTGTGAGCTGTAGAAGTCATGAGAAAAAACTAATGACGCAGGGATTCCTGCTAGTGATCCAAGCTTTGATTAGTTTGAAAGTTTAACTTCGGCTGCGTTTGTTGAGTCCACCCTGCTGGCAGAAAATGAGCCGGATGTGAATATTTCAACGCTGATTGAATTAATGGCCCCTGGAGAAAGTAATATTAAAAATTCGATAATTTTTTTGATTTTGTGTGGTGCTGAAATGATCATACTTGGAAGCATTTTCGCAACGCTTCCGATTGTTCGCCAACATTTTAATAAAAATCCTGTTCTTATTTTTTAAAATTTTACTATATTTCTTGCCTCTGGAAAGTGACCTCCATTCTCTGTCAAAGCAGGACTGGCGTTATTCCTTTCGGAAAAAATTTGTCCTGAATTAAAGTGTCGTATTGATTTCGATGTTCAACTGCGTTCAATAAGGTTAAACATTTGAATGGTTTGCTCAAACTCTTCATGCAGTACATTTTCTTATTTTATCGCTATGTTTTCCTTGCAGCAAACTTTGAAGTTGTCCTTGGAAGACCTGCCAACATACCACATGTGCAGCTTCGCCATAGCAAGCTTATATTCATTTTTAAATTTTTTTGTTTGTTTGAGAATGTTCGATCGAGTCCACCTGTATACAGTATTTTCATTTTTAGAAAGAAACATAATTGAATTGCTTTACAGGGAGTTTTTCCGTGGGTTTTTGAATCACTGTTTTGAAAGCTTTTTTTTCAGGTGCTCTCGATGCTATCTGCCTACTACCTGGTCGTGTTGATGTTGCCGGTGAGCAGACTTCACCCAACGGGTACGCTTCTGAAATGTGGGGTTCCGCTAGCCTGCGTTCTCTGTTGGGGCTTTGTGTGCCTTCATCTTTCCGCCTATTGGCTGAGCCAGCCGCGGGCTTTTGTCTATCACATTTTCGCGGTCTCCTCATTTGGGATCTTGCCGCTTGTGGTGGGCTTTTGGAACTCAAACGGTGTCGGTGTCTCTTCGAGGATACGAACGGTTTCAGGTTCGGGGTTATGACCGCCTCAAGTACCTTTCTGTTGTGTGCATGCTTGCATTCTTTGTTGTCGACTGCCTTCCCATCGTGCATGTTCTGTGCGTTTTCATATTGCTTGTGGCTTACGTTATGATTTGAAGATGCGAAGGAGTGAAAGATATAGATGCTCTTCTTGAATTATTTGCAGATTCTAGCAGCAAAGCGGAAGATGATTCGTTCGTCCGGGCTCCGGAAGTGGTGAGAGGACGTTTTTTCGACCATAATAAACAGCTATTTATTTTTAGGAATTACTTTTTGTTGCGATTCATTTGAAAAGAAAAAAAATGATAAACGATAACGATGGAATAATCGGAAAGTGTATGCATTCATTGTGATCATTCGATTGTTCCAAGATATACAAAGAGGGAACGCAATAACGAAATGTTCGACAAGTTTTGAGTTGATTTCGACTATCCGAAACGTCGTACAATGTACAGTCGAACCTCGATGTGCCGCCATCATTTGTTCGTGAGGTTTGTGGAGGTTTCACCGGGTTGGCGGTTTATCAAAACAGCTGAATTAAGATAAAAATCATGTATTGAATGATGGGGAACGAAATTCTTATTCTTCTAGGAAACAAGCAAAATAACCGCGGGGTACGTAAATTATATCTAGTTAATAAATTATACGTAAATTGAGAACATTATATCTACTTAATGTTCTCAAGAAGTGAATCGTGTCTCAACAGGGTTTGATTTTACTGTTATTGTGAAATAAAATATTTGTTAGTTTTCTTATTCGTGTGAAGTCAACGTTGAAGTTGATACATTTCATTTTTGAATTTTTATTTTAAATTTAATGTTGGAATGAACTGAATCTCGTTCGGTCTATCTCAAACGTCAGTCCAATTGCCGGAGTTGTATCATCTGTACCAGTAATTTCGCGAGTGCCAAGAAATTCATCGATTCTGTAATCACGGGGAAAAGCTCAAGTTTTGAAAATTTCCTTTAAAGCTTTGTTTCACGCCTGTCGTACGAGATGTTCTACTTTTTCTGTTGCGGTCTCGTATTTGGACAGAATTCGGGAATAGAATCCTTCTGAAGTCCTGCGTGTGATGCGTATATGAATGTTAAAGTACGTTAGCCGCATTAAAAAATACTTTGAAAAATGAAGAAATCGGGCGATTAAGTTTATTTTACTGTACTTTGGGCAAAGCCAGGATAATAGACAAGGTTGTCGCGTGTGTGCGTAGATTCGGGATGACCTACGAAACCCAGCATTGGATCGATTAATCGGACTGGACCAGGATCGCCGGGGTTTTCTACACTCCAGCCTTCGTCACCGATTGTTGAGACGATCGACGAGCCAAGAAGGACATTCCCGAACCGTCGGGAAACCCGACTGCAACATTAGCGACAGTCGGAAAGTTACTTTCTTCACGTCCACTCCCAGGACTAGGACTGTGTCGGAAACCATCGGAACTGTCACAGCTAAAGAAGAATCGCAGAGGGAATCCTTTGGTTCCTCCCCTGTTCCACTGTTGGTAGTTGATCCTCCACCTGGTGACGTGAAGGACGGGAGAAGCAGCAGTCTCGAGTTCTCGATTCCTCCACCGCAATGTGAGATGTATATCCAGTAAAATTCTGTTACAACGAATCTCGTTATAACGATTTTTTTCTTTGTCCCAGCAGTTGCTCCAAAGGAACAATGTTACAAAAATCTCATTTCAACAAAACCTCAGTATAAAAAAAACTTCTGGCACTGATTCAGCTGCCATGGGGATTATTTAAGAAATCGGAGAAAATTGAAAAAAAAGGAACTAGAGCGGCATTCCAACTTCATCAGAGAAGCAAAACCTTTCTATAGAGAAATTTTAGTGTTGAAAAAAAAAGCTCATGACTTATTTCTTGGAAATTCTTTAGCTCCATTTCAGAATGTACTGTATATGTATGCTTTTCTTTCAAAAAATCTGTTCGTTGGAAAAAATTTCCATTGGGTGTTCCCAGATTGGGTATTTATTACCGATTTCCCTCAAAATTCCCGCCTAAAATATGTTAAAAACCACGAATCTTTTTGCGCCAAATTTCTCGTCATCACGAATTTTTTATCTGGTCCGTGAGAATTTTTTATAACGAGATTTTACTGTATTGATGATTCGGAATTTTCCTGTAATCCAGGGCTTTTCAACCAATGGTACGTGGGTACTTGTCAAGGGGGCACGCGAGACTTCCCTGGGTTTGAGATAGACTTTTTGAAGGATGTCAAATTGTTACGAAATGTGTATGGCAAGACAATTCAAAGAAGGAATTGGGATGAAGGCAAAGCTAAAAAAAATGGAGAAATGAACTTCGGCAACAGGCAGTAAACTACAGTGAGATGCCAAATTGCCTAGATCTGTGAAATTGATGGAATGAGTACAAAAAAGTGTACGGTAGTCAAACCCCCTTTAATAGGAAGCCCACCCACAAGTCGCCATCCCCATCAACTGTGAATTTATTTTTAAAAACAAGTATTTCCTACTGATGAAAGCATTGTAAACCCTTGTAATTATTTGCTTGCAGTTCGTCAAAGAGCGCTTTCGGATTCTGGATTCCGCCCAGATTGGAGGAAATCCAGGCCGGATTTGAGTGCGTTCCATCATCGGACGTTTCGAACAACAATTGCTGTTGTTCCCGAGTCAAGCGAAGGAAATTTGTATCTTGTTTCTTTGCTATGGGTCTGCGTTCTCATGACGTTGTGGCGTCATCCGAGGTTGCTCCAATTGCTTCCAATACCTGTCATCTATTTGCTGATGAAGCATCTCTGTGAGTTCTTGAAGATTTTTTTTGATAATATGGTAGGATGAAGAATATCCTTTTTTCGTATTGTTCTAGATTGCTTGAGGGACGGAAGCGCATCACATTAATTTTCAGTAACGAAAATGTGAGGCATTAGCCTGATTCGTGCGCAGAATTCGTGAAAATTTTAGTCCGGAAACTGGGATAAGACTTTTTCGTCAGTGACCCACACGTGACAAAAATAGCGAATGCTTCACGAGCTGCTAGCCCCAATAGAAACATATTTTTTGGAGTGTTGATAATATGTGATCATGTAAGTTAGGTTATAAAAGATTGAAGAGAGACATTCCTCGTTTTTTTTTTCTGAGGACGCCCGAATTTTCTTCCTCATCTCCGATCATGGAAAAGTCAGTAGCAATCAAATTTTTCAGCTCTTTTTTGTTATTGTTGGTACTGTTGAAATGACTCCACAGTTAAATTGAATGTGTGGCTGGCTATGTGAATACTGTAGTTCACGCTTTTATTGAAAGCGATGAAAGTGTGACTTCTCTGCATTTTTTGCTTTTTGCTTGAATGAATCGCTTGACTGAAATTTCAGTCTTGCTTATCTGACAAATTAATGCTGCCAGAAATATTCCCTACACAGTTTCTCGATATCTACTTCATTTGTGATCAAAACAAAGAATTTTGAGTTTTTTTTTTCGCTTCTACGCCTGCTTGTTCGAACGTTGGGATTTTTTTTTCTTCGCTTGTCCTCAGGGCTTTTTGTCGTTGGAAGTGGAAACTGGGGAGCAGTGAGTACTTTCGTGTCCAAACGATTGGAGGCAAGGAAATCATTGTTGGTGCCGTTTCCGATTCCACTTATTTATGGATGGATTCTGCGCGGCGAAAGAGCCATCATTCAAATATTTAAAGAGTATGTGGATTCCGTTGCAGCCGTATGCATTATATTCACTGGGATTGTCCTGTCAGGCCTTGCGTTGATCTTCATTTCTGTTCAGGTGAATCGTATGAAAAGTTTCCATGCCATTAGATATTTAACGAAAAAATTGAAACTTTTTGTGACAGGGACATTTTTTTTCTTACTGTATAATAATGAATTAAAACAAGTTCCCTGAATTTTAGTTTTCACTGCAGCTATGCATGAGTGTTAATCGCTTTTTATTTTGAACCCAGGATAAAGCACTGTCCATAACAGTGGACCCTTGTTTAGAAAACTTGATTGGTTGTGGACAAAAGTTAGTGAACTGAATCTGATTTTCCCATAGACTTCAGTGGAGAACCAATGGATCTGTTCCTGGCAACCAAAGAAAACTTTAAAATTAAAAATCTGGACAAATATCTAATCAGAATGAGTTTCTGTAGCATTCTGTGTATGTTCACAATGTTTTTTGGGGTTGGATGGAAGTACTGTACTGTATAACTAATGAAAACATCACTCAAAACGCTTTACATCCAGAAAAAAATTCACATTCGAGTAGGATAACTAGAGCCAGAAAATTAAATGTTAATTTTACAATGATGTAACAAAAGAACATATTGAGCAGATGAAGAGTGGAAAAAACCAGAAAATTCTGATTGAAAGTGCCTTTGTCTACAATCTACAGCTTCTTACATGCAGCTGGATATCATTTGTTCAATTGCCTCTGCTCAAATTATGTAACATCCACAGCACGCCCCCAATGACTCACTCAATGTCAAACAAACTTTAAAAATGTTGTGTAAGCTTTTGGCTTGCGTAATGATTCTGTTTTATTTGTCCATTGGTACTACAATTAGATTGTACTGTACCCTTACAGTTGAGTGTCCTGAATAAATTCGGAATTTTTGCCTGGGAACAAAAGTGTGTTACCAAATTTTGGTCTTTAACCAAGGGAGTTCTCTTCGAGGACAAAAGTCTGTCGACTAAAAAGTTCATTAGCCGAGGTTAAACTTTATTCATATAAATCGGATTTAGTCTTCTACGTTGGATCTTCCGATTAATTTTTTTTCTCAACAGGTTTATCATGAGGGGGTTTTGTTGGTTTCATTGACTGGACAAGCCTTGAATTCAACAATTGTGGGGAATTTCTTGGGATCTGGAGACATGGCGAAATTGATGCATCAAAGCACGGATTCCATTCATCATTATGGAAGAGTTATTTTATCTTCAGTGGTAAGAGCATTTTTCCTTTGAAGCGATGATCTCACTTGAATATAGCCTTGTTGATTTATTATAACGGAGTTTCTTCACTGTTTCGGAAGAAAAGCATTTGCCTTTTTTCTGATTAGAAGTACTTTATTCAATTATGAGGATTTGAGGGATGGTTAACAGTATATTTTTGTCAGTACTGTACCTCACAGTGAAGGTTCTTTTGGTGTTTACCAGAGCCAGGTTTCTGAGTCAGAATCATTTAAGTCATTTTGAATCGATGACAATCCAGTGTAAAGGGTCTTCGGTTATTCACGAAAAATTGACTTGAATTCTAGCCGTAAATTCATCTGTACCAACCAATTGACGTTTTTAAATGAGCTTTTGGATGCACTATAGCTAATAAAAAAAATTGCCAGAATTTAAAAATACTGTTCTAGAAGAATTGTTCCATTTTAAACATTTTCGCTGAAATTATCGATCAATTTTCAAGTACATTATTACTTATCGCAATACTTCGGCTGCTTGTAAATTAATGAAATATCTGAGTGTGCCAGCTAGGTAAACCCTATTCCTGTACAGTGATGGGTGTCTTTTCTACTTTCAGTTTAGTCATTCTTTTCAAACCTGAGGGAAATTTTTGAAACAGGGTCAGGATTGTAAGAAATTATTATTGCCCCGTAAAAATTACGTTAATCTTTATCAAATCAACATTTTTCACGAATAAGGGAAGTACAAGACTTGCCAAAATGTGCTTGAATGAACGAACTGCGGTTTTCTTGTGTTGGATCCATTTTTTATGCACAATGTGCGGAAAAATTAATTTTCTCGAAGGTGAGGAAAATCTCGGGCGATGTGGAGGACGCCAAGCTGCAAGACGTCGAGGAACAAGTGTTGGCTATGTGGAACAAATTCTACGTGGAATATAACAAATACGTGGACGTTTACAAACACCAGAAAGAAAATTATCCTCGTGAACCGTTGAACGTTTGCGATTCCGGAAGCACAATGAGAACTAGCGTGGGCACTCAAACGAATCCGGAAACGGCAGAGATGCTCTGGGCACCCTTCTCTGCTGCAGTTTCGAAGATCATGCCAGGTTTTTTGAACCACCATTTGATTTAATGGACTGCTAATCTGTTGATCCAACGACGCATTTTTCAGTGGAAGAACAGTAAACAATAATTAATTATATATTGAAAAATTTTGGGGAGCAATTTAAATTATGAAAAATTGCAGAGGATCATAAAAAATAATTGAATGTGTTTTCTATTTCACAGACATGTACAGTAAAATCTCATTACAACAAACTCCTGGGGACCAGAGAAAAAATTTGTTATAACGAAAAATTCGTTGTAATGAGATTACTTGATTTTGTTACAGAAAAAACACTTCACCCTCTTTAAAAGCATTTTATTGCTTGAAATAATCAGTGATTTTAATCTGTACACTTTTATCCACCACACACTTCACTAAGACATCTTCCACTTGCTTCAGCAGCTTGAAAACATGCTCATTTCCCTTTTCTGAAGATAATAAGTAATTTTTCACTTCTTGTAATCCTTTGAAGGTTTGTGCAGAAGTTGTTTTCTCTTCTGTAATTGACACTTCATCATCACTTTCAGCGTTTGAGCTGTCTTCCTCATGCTGATGCTGAGGTGAAACACTTTGTAAAATCTCTTCTGAAACTTCACAAGTCATCCTTTCTTGTAGAAACTTGATATGCCATTTTGTAGAAACTTCAGTCTTATCTTCTGGTAGAAACTGCTCAGCATATCTCTGTTTGTAGAAATTACACATGTCCCTTGGTGTAAGAACTTCACAAATCCCTTCTTGTAGAAACTTAAAATCCCTTCTTGCTGTAGAAACTTAAAATCCCTTCTTGCTGTAGAAACTTCTGGTTGCTCTTCTGGTAGAAACTTTACATATATCTTCTTGTAGAAACTTCTGGTCTCTCTTCTGCTGGAAACTTCTGGTCTCTCTTCTGGTAGAAACTTTGCATATCTTTTCTTGTAGAAACTTCTGGTCTCTCTTCTGGAAGAAACTTTGCATATCTTTTCTTGTAGAAACTTCTGGTCTCTCTTCTGGTAGAAACTTCACATATCTCTTCTTGTAGAAACTTCTGGTAGAAACTTTGCATATTTTTTCTTGTAGAAACTTCTGGTCTCTCTTCTGGTAGAAACTTCACTCATCTCTTTTCTTAGAAACTTCACTCATCTCTTTTCATAGAAACTTCTGATCTCTCTTCTGGTAGAAACTTCACTCATCTCTTTTTGTAGAAACTTCTGGTAGAAAATTTGCATATCTTTTCTTGTAGAAACTTCTGGCCTCTCTTCTGGTAGAAACTTCACATATATCTTCTTGTAGAAACTTCTGGTCTCTCTTCTGGTAGAAACTTCACTCATCTCTTTTTGTAGAAACTTCTGGTAGAAACTTTGCATATCTTTTCTTGTAGAAACTTCTGGCCTCTCTTCTGGCAGAAACTTCACATATATCTTCTTGTAGAAACTTCTGGTAGAAACTTCACATATACTGTATCTTCTTGTAGAAACTTCTGGTCTCTCTTCTGGTAGAAACTTCTGGTTTCTCCTCTGGTAGAAACTTCACTTATCTCTTCTTGTAGAAACTTCAGATATCCCTTCCTTGTAGAAACCTAAGGTGTGTCTCCTTGAAACTTCTCATATCCCTTCTTCCAAGAACTTCACATTTCCCATCTGGTAGAAACTTTGCATTTCCCATCTGGTAGAAATCTCTGGCCTCCCTCATTTTAGAAACCTTGAACTAAACTTCTAATCCATTGCACAAATGAAGTCTGTCAGGTGGGGGGCCACTGTACATGATCTTTTCACTGAAATTCTGTGCAAGGTCATTCAGGCAAACATTCCACAGCATGTTAGGGCACAGAAATACTGTACACTGTATGGCTTGAGGGCTTCAAAGTTGCACAGTGATTACTGTACAACATTACAGCCTCTATGTGGCACAGTAAAAAAGGCTGTGCAATGTTACACTCATAAAAAAGTATTGCTGGTGTCACACAGTATTCAACTGTACAATGATAAGGCCATTGTTTTACACAAATCTTGCAGTTGGGTCATCTCATCTAAACTTGTGCCTTTTAAGATTAAAAAAAAATTGACTTATGCAGGGGACTAAAAATCAAGGATTTTCACTGATTCTGGTTGCTCTTGGATTCCTGAGCTCCAAGTTGGCACTGTGCTTCCAGCATCCTGAGGCTTGGTTGATAAATTTATCAGGATACATTTATTTTATGGGCTTCCTGCCAGTCAGGAAATGTAACCAATTTTTTGCTTCCTGTTTTTCAGTGGGTAATTGGGCTGAGGCAGACAAATTTCCTGTCCATCATCCTCTATAGTGATGATGTGTCACAGGAAATCAGTATTGTACAAAAATCAGGGACTCCTTTATGTCCCTGAAAATCGGGAACACAACATGTTAAAATTGGGACAAGAAATTTGAAATTTTGATGAAAAAAATTGAAAATCTGGTGAAAAAATGCAAAAATTTTGTGAAATAATTTGAAAATTTCATAAAAAAATTCGTTATAACCAGAGATTCTGTGAAAAAATTTGTTAAAACGAGATTTTTATAACACTGTACATAGGGCAAACTGCCGGGACCAATGAAAAAATTCATTAAAGCAAAAAATTTGTTATAACGAGATTTGTTGTAATGGAATTCTACTTAGTGAGAAATTGGCCATTGTTAAAATTTGTGTACAATCAATTTGAGGAATTTTTGCATTTGAAATTACTGCAGTTAAATTTTAGCTGACAGAGAACAAAGACCAAGTCTTCAACAAACAACCTACATTTCTATCTGGAATTTTTGGGCAGATTTGGCCTAAATCACCAGTTGGACAGAAGTAAAGCTACATCGGTGCCACGTGGAAAACCGCAATAGGAAAATTCCATGACAATAAACTCTTGTGGATCTGCCAGAAAACTCATCGGTCTGAAGATGTTTTTATGCTGAAAACTTTATTCTCTGATCAGGGAGACTTGAACGTATCACTTCTGAAAATCAAGGAGGGTAAATACCTACTTGGCTTCATCAGAATCCAATTGATTAATCCCAATCTAAGTTCGAACTTTTTTTCATGAATATTTTCGAAATTATTATTACTGTATTTTGAAATCGCCACTCCTCTACTATTTCTTCACACACGACAAATCATTCTTAGGCTTTTAATGTAATACGTTTCCAAGAAGTCTTTCGAATGAGTTTTGGCCAGATTTTTGTTTTTCGGTGATCTCTGAAGATTCTGATGCCAACTTCGTTAAATTAAAAAATAAAAACGCTGCGAATAATATTTCGTTATGCGATGTTTTATGCTCCAAAAGAAGACTACAGTGTGCCGGTCTTCAGAAAAAAAAATGGACTACGATGGGACTTCTAAACGGAATTTCTCTTGAATAAACTAACATAATCGACAATGAAAAATATTAGTGAGATACACTCGTACGAGTGCTGTATATTATAGTGGGACCCACTTAACTTTTGGTAGTTCAAGAAGAATCCCAATTAAACGCATGTGAACTTGCTTAACATCCGTTGTCCCACTATTTTTTTTAAAGTTATTTGTAAAAATCTTCGTACATTTTGATGTATATTTTGCTGTACATTTATGACTATGTTCGGGGTTCTTCTTAACCTTTACAGAATTTTAAAACAATGCTTAGATTCACCGTTGAGAATGAAAAGTGTCTGGTGCGGACCGGAATGCGGCATTCATTTTCATAGTGACTTGAAAATCTATACAATCAGTTCGAATGAATAGTTTTTATTGTTTGAAAAACGTTTTTTCTAATACAGTACCTGGAAAACTTTTCTGAATTTCGAAATCGTCTTGAAATTGCAGAGACAATCTAAAAACGCATCATCTGGATGTCAATACGTAAGAAACCACCTTTTCGCTTTTAAGGACTGTTTCTTTACAGTACTTTACCAAATGCTTTCCAAATTCGTAGAGAATCACGCAGGCCCAGGCATTGCGAAGAAGTTCTGTAAAAAATGCTTGTTGGAAGTTTAATGTTGCCCAAGTACTGCACTCCCCCCCCCCCCCCCGGTTGATCAAAAATATTTGCGCAGCACTGCTTCATCAAGTTTCCAAGAGTTGAACAAGTTTGAAGCCTTCAGCCTTCCATTCTTCTCTTGTCCGACGAACAATGCGAATGTCGTAATTGTGGCAAAGATTTTTCAGTAAACTTCAATGAACTCGATCAAATAATATTTTTTCTTCAGGTTCAATGCCCATGTCAGCTTGGTCACGTCAGTTCAATGCGACCATCTTGATGCAGTTCTTGAAAAATAATGTTGATTTGATGCAATCTATTGCATCGATCGTCGCAAGCAATTTATATCTTGCCGTTGGTGGATTAACGGCGTTGTTGGGATTGCTTGCTGGCGGAGGAAATGCAGTCTTGAATTTCGTGCTGAATTGGGTGAGTATTTTTTTTTTTTAATTCAAGCGAGGTCAGAAAATAACTGAATTACGAAGCTTCACGATTCCCAATGAATTTATGTCGAAAATTTCAGCTAATTTTTTGCACGACGCTCTTCTACTTGTTGAAGTGCAGCAGCGCCATCTACAAGCCATTGGACTTCTTTTTTCTCTCATCCTTTCAGTCTACCAAAGAGTGAGTGAAATTTTTTTTCATTGGCTTCATTTACAAATGGTTGGTTTTTTTCGATAATTTCGGCGGCATTTTTAGTCTCAAGCGGAAGTATAAGTTGATGATAATTTATACGAAGAGAGTTTCCGTCATGACTGATTTTTTTACTGCAGCTGAAACCGGACGTTTTTCTGGCAATCGAAAAGAGTCTTTATTATCACAATTTTCAGATTGACGCGTGCATTTGACCGAGCTATTTCGGATGTGTTCGTCGTATCCTGCAAGTTGGCGGCATTTTATGCTTTGTGGACCTGGATTCTGCATGACTTTTTCGACGTGAAACTTGTCTTCATCCCATCAGGTATAAAATGGCAGAACTTGGCAATTTCACTGATCGAAGTCATTCGAGGGATGATATTCGGGAGTATGGCTTCATTAATTGTACCAAAAGTTACTTTATTGTTGTTTTTTTAAAATAAATTTTACAGATTGTCGTGTCTGTGATCTGCGTTGACCAATTTTTGCCTTTTACCCCAAAGAGCAGAAAAAACGCCAATTTTTGTAGAAATGACTACTTGATTTGATATTTTCTCCGTCTATTTCAGAAACTTTTTCAGTAGTGAAATATCGCTAAGTGTAATCCGAGGCACCAGATCCCGACGTGTCGAAGCAAAAACAATTACAGTAGAATCTCGTTTTAACGAATGAATGCTTACAACGAATTCGTGTTTTGGTCCCTGTCCAACAGCCAAAATGCTGTTCTACTTTGTTTCAACGAATTTTCGTTCATGAATTTTTAACGAAGCTTTTTTTCTAAGGTCCTAAACGTTTTGTTGTATCGGAATTCTACTATAGACAGAAATCGGATGTAATCAGGTAAGGATGGATTCTACGTTTAAATTTCATCGGTTTTGGTCAAAAGTATAGTTCTACAAATCTGTCGAAAATGGTTCCTTGTTATGTTGATACAATTCTAGATTTTAATTTCTGGAAATAATGGCAATTACTGTGTTTGTTCCAATACGGTAACATATTTTCTTGTGCTCGTCTTCATCCTGTCCGTAGCCATCGCTTCGATTCTGGCTGTAGTGCCGTTGTTCGGAAGCTATCTCGTGTGCATACCCGGTGCGATCGAATTGTGGGCCGTTCAGAAGCGATCAACGGCGGCGGTGGTGTTCTTCATCGCTCACTTGGTGCCTCCTTATTTCGTCAATGATGCTTTCTATCGCGACATCCGAGGGTAAGAAGGAAATACTTATATGAGAAAAAAAAAAAAAAAAAAAAAAAAAAAAATTGGGGCTATGCCATACTTGTAAAAATCTGCTTCTTGAAGAAGTTTCAACCTTGTTGCAAGGCTCTTTTCTATTCCTTGTACATTCGGACCTCTTCAAGTCGGATTTGAAGGGACCAAACAAAAATATGAGAGGGGTCTCCAGTTAGGGAAACTCGGTCTGAAAAGGCTTGCCGTGATCTTCAAAATAATCGGAGTCGACACTTTCGTGTGTGGTGTGTCCAAAAGCATTTTACTGATGATTCCTATGACATAAAGAAGGCTAAACACCAGGAAACTGCAATTGAAATGTGTCCACAGGATGCAGAATCCCAAGTCCAGATTTTATGAACTAATCAAAGTTTCTCATTCTCCATTCCAGAAGCATTACCATTTAAATTTCCTGTTCCTCCTTGTCTTCAAAAAATTCGAGTTAGGGATGTTCACAATTCCATTATTTTAAAGCAGTGCTGCCCAACTCAGATGAGACCAATGGCCACATCAACACTTCTTTTTTGCGAAGGACCCTATCGCAGAGGTGCTGGAGAGGCCCAAAAATGACAACGTGGGCCAGAAAGACAGTAATTCAAGGAGGATTATGTATCGAAGCATGTTTGTCCTTGATTACAGCTTCCATTCATGCTACAAGAACCAGTCAGTCACATTTGTTACTAGAAATTGTTGGACTAGACTTTAGTACAACAACAACAGAGATGTTTCAACTCCAGAATCCATTGAACATTCCTCAAAAAATTTTGATACTGTGATAAGTTTTTTTTATACCGTAAGAAGATTGTTAAACATGTGCTCTGTGGGCGTTTTGTCAGGTCCTAAAAAAGTTTTTTTTGTACTGAAAAATGTATTGTACAGTAATGAGTTTTTACTGTACAGTATTAGTTTCAGCATGCTTGATGTGAGTTGTTGAGTTTAGGGCTACTTTTGCTTCTTTATGCAGAGATATGCATCCTTACCTGACGTCATTGGCTGTGATGGGTGGAGTATTATGCTTGGGAGTTGAGGGAGCAATATTTGGCCCATTGCTGTTGTGCCTACTTCTGATCGTCTACCAAACGTTTCAAGCTACCTTCCGAGACGTGCCTTTGTTGCGGCAGATGAGCTCAGAATACTCTACTTCACAACACCAACCGTTCGTATTCTCTGGAATGACGTGATTAATTATGAAACTCCGTATCAATGGATTCCCCGAATTTTTCAGAAGCACAACTGAGGCGTCTTCTTGGTGAAGAACGTGCCGTTTGAGAACTGATATCCGACCATAGGCGAAAAAGTCCTCGTATCATCAATGTGCTTTTGTTATTTTTGAGAGGACCCACATCTTGCGTCGAGACGATTGTACTTAGTTGACAAATATCCTTTCAACCCTTGCTTTATGTAACTAGACGATTATTAGGGATTACGCCTGATTTCGCGTCAGCGCACGTCAAGTGGATCTTGCAGTCAGCTGTGATGTTAGTTGCGACCTAATGTGATCTGTAGAAAATCACACACTTTAAACCTGGATAATAAAAGAAGTTGATGCGGATTGAAACTTGTTGCCTCATTCAAAGTTTCACCATTCGTGGTATGCGTACGTAACACATCCGAACAACTCGAACGCACAATATTGAGTTACAATAAATATGGAAACGGCAAAATCGCCAACGGCTTGAGCACAAACTTCTTGCACCCAACGTTCAATTAATATGAAATGCAACTTTTATCATAATTGAGAACCCTTATCATACTGGTGACGATTCAATTTTGTTCCCTTACAGGTTTCATGACCCTCAATTTCCAATATAATATGTTTGGGTTCTCGTTTTAAACGGGAACCTTGGTATACAATGCAATGAAATAACCAAGTTACCCATGAGATGTTGCAAATGAGATAGATTTTGGGGAACGATGGACTGAATGTAATAAAAACCCGTCACTTATTTATCCATTTGATGAATGCAAGAATAACCATCAACCCCAAAGGAGAAGCTGAAGAATTCACAAGAAGTTGATCAGACAAAATAAGTGCAGTCGCATAGAAAAAAAATGGTACAATAAAAAATTTATACAGAAACTAAAACCTTTTGTTTTACCTGTAAACTCTTCTGAACATTCAACATGACTAATAAGTTTTGTTTCACCTTTCTGTACAGTCCATTACAAGAACAAAATACTGTCAATCATGAAGTTCACGTAGAGCACTTACACAAAACAGCAATTATGTTGCACCAATAATGTTGGCAGATGATATCTCATCAAGGTTTTCCAAGATATTTAACCTTGAGGTCTGTGCAATACAACAATTTGGCAGTTCACTTTCACTTGGAGGCATTTCAACATTATTTCATTACATACACTAATGGGATGGTTCAAACATGAAAGTTAGATAAACGCTTCAACTCGGAGTCATTATTGCGAATAGGCTCTTCAATCAGCTTTATATACAGTGTAAAGTAAAAATTTTAACATAGTCATGTACTCGGATTCAAGCATGTAGGATGTACAGATGAACAGGACTATTAACATGGGTAAAGTTTTTCGAAACTGTTATTGCCAAAACAGAGGCAAAAAATTTATGGCATTTTAGTGCCCATTACAAAACAAAAACATCGAAAAATCATCAGTTTTCTAACTCATTGTATTCTCCCGTTGACAAAAAAAAAACCGCTTTACAATAACTGGAAAATTCCTGTTTGAGTTCCGATTCCATTCGATATCCGCGAAGTGTTCACCGACCATCAAAGCTTACATTCCGAAGTGGTTTCCACAACACCTGATGCCCTCACATTCTAGAAAAGCTTTCTTGATAATCACTTGCAAGATTACAGATAAGAGTACAGTATTAGGATAATCCAGCAAAAAACCCCAATATTCAAACGCAAAATTTTCCAGGAAAGTTTCTGGGGATTTTCAAAAATTTAATAATAAAACACACTAGACTTCGAAAGTCACCGATTACGATGGTGTTGAAGTAAAGAAGACTGGTCCAAGAAGATTCCCATTGATTTGTTCAAAAATTAAAAAAAAACGATCGCAGCAATCATTCGACTAATTTTAAGACGCCAAAAAAAGCCTCAATTGGAACGCTCCAATCCCGACATCTACACCACAGCCATACCTGTAATCTAAACTCTAAGTACAGCCATTCAGTTTCTTGTCATCAGCGAGCCCCGTACACACTTTCGTCGCTGTAGGCGATGTACAAGAAAAAATCGTCATCGTGATGTTCCTGTGAACACATAATACCCAAGTCAGCGAAGACGTCGTTTGAAAAAGAGGAATCCCACAAACTAACCTGATATAAAGCTCCCATTGTCGCCGACGTTGGCGGGATCACGTTGTTCACGAAGAAAAACAACGCATCTTCCGGCTTTAACGATATTCGCTTTCTGATTAGGAAGTAGAACTGTCCTACCGTCAAATCTGAAGGAACCAGATACTTCTTCTTGTCAAGGTCCGCGATGTGTGACTTCGGAGCCTTCTCCACGATGACCTGAGCAGAAACAGTTCGATAAAATTTCTCATTTTAAAAGAATATGAGCAGCACAAAACCACGATTCGGGAATATTCTGTGATTTAATATAACCTGCAGAAGACGATTATTTCAGTTATTGTACCCAACATTCTAATACTGTACAGGTATAAATACGCATTCAATAGCTCACTCTTAAGTCTGCAGAAACCCTACCTTGCGATTGATTTTTCGATGCAAAATTTAAACTCGGACCATTAATATATATTCTTTGCAGGTTCAAGTCTTTCTTCAAAAGGGCAAGAGCGAGACGAGACAAATATTCGGAGTATGATCACAGAACAAAACGAAGGGTTTCATTTTTTGCTACATGACTGATATACACCTGACTTTCCAGCAACCTTGGAAACCGGAACCTGTAATACTTTTTTCATTCAAATTATGATATTCGAAAACTAAAACGTCAATTCATAGGAAGAATCAAATAACAACAACGGTACTTAAGAGATCGTTTATACAGCTTAGTTCAGATCAAATTCAATACTGATTACTATAGTTAATCGGGAGTTCTGGAACGGTGTCCATTGATTCCTCGCAATGGTCGGTCACGTGATACGAGAAAACTATCGCAATCTGTCACGTACAATTTGACAGCCCTGGGATTTCTACAAAAGCAACCACATTTATTTTTAGGGAACGTGAAAAGTTGCCGAAGCCGAGATCCGTAATGAAATAACTTTCAGTTCCTTACAATTTCGGGGGGAAGAATTAGCCTCAGTAATCGAAATCAGTGAAGGATGCTCGGCACTTGAATAATTGCGATATTGCAACGGAAAAAGGTAGATAATTAATATACTCACAGGAACGCGATCTGGATATTTTCTCCTTATCTTCTCCCCTTCTTGTAGTCGCTTTTCAAACGAATGTTCGTCCTTGTATTGCCACCTCATCACTCACACGTCCGCGGACAATTTCAACTACACACGGAAAGTAATATAGAAACAATTCACTGGAGCCTCAGCAAAGCAGGAACTATAAAAATCTCGGATTTTCTTCTCAGTAAAGCCTTCCATTTTCCAGCAGGAATCAGGACTTCCCGACGTAAGCGGAATTTCCTTTGCAGAACATAACGGACTATCATCGGTCAAAGGAAGCAAATTGCATGCCGCGATTCGATCACGGAAAATTGAGGATGCGTATATATCAACCAGTTTCGAAAAAATTACGCCGATCGACTAAAGGCTTACTGAAATTTCATGGGAAGTACTGGAAAACAAATCATATATCAACTTGGTACCTCTCTGCGAATCCAGAGGGGGAACCAATCACCGTGATCGAACACTTGACAGGCATCTGACTCCAATGATCAAGCTGATCAACGTAATTTCCGGAATTCCACAATAACAATTTACTGTCCACGCATCTTTCAAACTTTAAACGAAATTAGGAACTGCCACTCAATTTGGTAGAACAAAAATAAACTCTTGAAAAAATTCGCGTTCTGCTAAGATTTCCAACTGGTTTGCCGATCATATTGTGTATCTCCCGTAAACGCTCTCGTCACTATATGCGATATACAGGAAGTAATCTTCATCACGATGTTCCTGTGAAAATAAAGAAAAACAGTTGAAAAAGGTCCAACGAACGTCTTACAAATCATTTACCTGATATAATGTTCCCATCGTCGCAGAAGTTGGAGGGATCACATTGTTCACAAAAAAGAACAACGCGTCTTCGGGTTTCAGCTGGATACGTTTCCGAATTAGAAAATAAAACTGTCCAAGAGTCAGATCAGAAGGAACCAAATATTTTTTCTTGTCCAAATCTCCAATATGTGCCTTGGGAGCTTTTTCAACAATAACCTGTAATGTCAAAAGCAGAATGAGAGTGCATAGCTCACGGGAGATGACTGGAACGAGTGAATGAACATACAGGAACTCGATCCGGGTATTTTCGTCGTATCTTCTCGCCTTCTTGTTTCCGTTTGTCGAAAGGTTGCTGATCTTTATACTGCCACTTCATTCTGGAATATTTTGTCGCCGACGCGAATTTGACCGCTCTGTTATGCAAACAGATCTTACGGTTAATTAAAAAGTCAGTCACACATCGAATTCGACAAAGGGTGGTAGGTTCATCCGGAAGGAATGCTGCATCACTTCCTCACAACCAACACCCATCCACGTGAAAGCGCAAGCAACCAAGTAAACAAGACGCAGTAAGCGCCCGCATCCGTACAACGCAACTGCACACCTTGCATGACCGAACAACTTTCAGAATTCCAAATAAAGGTGGGAACATTTTACGTGTGATTTTGGATGATAAGAGGACGACAAGAATGCCAATTAAATCGTGTAGAATGAGGTCCATGTGTAATTAAGAACTCACGCATAGATGTACTTCACTATGAAAATATTGTAATTAAATACACACAGTAATAATTTATTTTAAAACCACGCGAATCTTCCTTCCCCAAGAAATTAGAATAGTTAATAGGGCGATTGCATGCAAGATTTGTATCCAAAATTTCACATCCTTATCACTCCCAGCATACTTTATATTCACCATGAGCATCAAGAGCTTATTCCATGTATTGTACAGTACAGTACATGGTTTTCAAATTATTTTGAAATGAATTGCAAACCTGCCCAGCAAGACTTGTGTTTCTGGGTTTCAGTCAAATTTATTACAAGAGAAAAAAACACTCCAGAGGAATTCTGTTTTTTAATTTTCTTTTGTTTCATTCTGTACAATTTCAAGAAACTGACCGAGAAAAAGTGTTGAAAGGGTCAACCAGCAAGAACAATTACATGATTAGGGGCCAGGGATTAGGGGGATTTAGAAGCCATGAGTTAGTTGAGTTACGCAATCATCAGTGTATCCAACAAAGCATGATGATTTTTCAAGGCTTGTGAGATTTAAAAAGAAAATATTGTACCAGGGGTTACTTCCCGTGTTGTACTTCATTGTACGAAGCCAGATCATATATTTGTTCTGCATCCGAACAATGGAACAGAAACCATGAGTGAAAATCCTGACCAGGATTCAGACAGGGCTTCTGAACACAATTTTGAATCACTCACCAGCATGCGCGAAACAATACTCGGTCAAATCATACGTCAATTTTCTGTATGCTATGTCTGAAACCTCATCAACTCTGACAGGTTCCGGATCAGCATTTTCCGCTTGGTCTGTTGCATGGGTCAAGCGGGCCTAAAAAATGGAACAAAATCGGTGAACATATTGGAAAATGATTCAAGACACTGGAAAGGGACTCGAGATAGAACAAAAAATTGTTTCGGGCTTTTATTCGAGTGGGCTGAGAAAATCAAGCGGACTCGGATACACCCTCACATTTATTACGCAGAAAAAAAATCGGAAAACATTTCATGGGAGTACTTAGAATATTCGGTGCGTTTCCTTAGAAGGCCCCAGAAAAATGACGACGACCATTCCGATTAAAAATGGATCTCATATAATTTTCCGACAGTTAAACGTTGCGACAACAAAAAACAATCACATGGAATTGTCACGATCAACATTGATCATTTTCTTCAAGAAGAGAAGAGAACGTGCAACAAACGACATGCATCTTCTTCTCGTGGTGTGAAAAGTCTGACGCATTTCCTCAGAATGTTTTGTAAAAAAAAACAGTATCGCCAACAGTGTCAGTATGGCAACGATTTGATTGTAATAAAACCTTCCGCTTGGCTTTGTGCGAACAAAAGCATTTCTGTAACATAGCTTGCTCGCCACAAAAGCCACAGTTCGTCGCACAGAAATCAAGTGATCCCGAATCGTAGCACCTTGAAAAAGGTAAATATTAAAACAATTCCACACCAAAAATCATCCAAATGCCCGCTTGGATTCACAAGTTTCGAAAAATTCTGCCAAAAATCCAGTCCGCGGATCTGCCCAAACAATGCTCCTTTCTCCTCCCAATTTCCAACTCACAATAAGCCAACAAACAGAATGTTTCAATACCTTTTCTCGGCAATGAAACGGTGGAATCACAAATCGGCCGCGTCACTAGATCAACTGCCAATTCTACGAATTCTGGCGAGCAGAACAACAAAATCGATTTAATTATTACTTTTTTTTTAGTAAGAGGACAACGAACAGCAGTATCAAACGGAGGGGGTCTTAGACAAATTCTTGGGCACAGCGAGCAAACATGAGGATGACAAAGATGAACTCCGTTCGAAAGAACCACGAGTCTTCGTGTCCGATCCAGTATTGTTGACACCTGTTTCGTCCACGCCACCAAAGTTGTGGTACTGCTGGAAACACGGTACGATGCAGAGATTGGCGCGACACTTGGGACACCAGTACTTTGTCTTTCTGCGTTGAACTCTTCCTTTGTCGTCCATTTTGTTCCAGCAATAATCGCAGCTAACGGCTGACCCGACCCGACTTTCGGGGCAATGATGACCTGATGCCGGCGAAGTGACCACCACTGCTGGTTCCGGACTCGACAAAAAAACCACGTGCATCTTCTTCCGTCGCTCACGATGTGATGAAGTTGACGAACTCCGCTGGAAAAAATATGAAACCATTTAATTGTCAATCAAGTTTATCCCATGCATACCTCGATTCAATTCATTCAAATATTGAAAAAAAACTTCTGATTATATCTCTACGAACCGTAACCGGTCAACTACGCTTTGGGACATATTTTTTTCTTTAGATTTTACTGTAAAGAAACAAGTTTGTTAAGTAAAATCTCGTAAGTACAGTACTAAATTTTGAAGGATCCAGAAAAAGTTTGTGAATAACTTTTTATGACGACATTTTCAAAATTAATGACTGGAAAAATTCACACCAGACCTTGATATACTCAATTATATTTTGGTTCTTCGGGATTCTTTTTAATATAACAGTATTTGAAAAACTGTGTGATCTTCTGCAAGAAAAATTAGCTTTGATCAGTTGAACTGATCTCTTCATTCTGAAAAGGAAGTTGTGAATTGATTGCAGCCCCATCCATTCTACAAGAACCAGTCATTCGCATTTGGGATCAGAAATTCAAGACTGTCGCACAGGAAATTTCTGCCTGGAGTATTTATAAAGCATTCCTCAAAAAAGTTTGTTGTACTGGAATTGGAAAGTTTGTTATAACAGGATTGCTTCAACATGTACTCTAGGCCTCAATGGACTTCCTGCTAGGACTTGAGCACAAGTTTGTCATACTGAAAAATGTGTTGCAACGCAAGTGTGATTGCACGGTATCCACAAAATTTACTATTTCATTATAAACTTTGTACTGTTATTCTATTCCATTTTCACGACGCGAGATAATTGAAAGCAATTGCGAGAGAAATTGCAATTCATCTTAAAACAAAATCGTTGATAAAAATTGTCAAGGCGGATATGAAAATTTGAGTAGGCTGCATTTTTTTGCATTCAAACGAAGACAGTCCACCTATTTTCTCAAAATTTGGCGTGATTCCAAATTGAAAAAACTTCCCATGACCTTTCAAAAATCCTCCCAAAAATCAATTTGAAAGCAAGAATTATCCGAAAAACGCCAAAATTCATCCAGATAAGCTTCAGCAGATTTTCGTACTTTGATATCTACTACTCAACATTGCTTTCAACAGAAATGTAATACAGACATGCGAGGGAATCAAAATGAAATCCAGGTAAATTTAAAGCGACATAAGCGCACTTTTTTTTTTCTGGAACAACGTCAGCTGAAAAATGCTTCCCAGGATGAAGAATATACTAAAATTCGTTTTCTTTGCCCGATACAACCCAGTTTCGGTCGACGTAAGTTCAGCAGTCCACTCACCCCAATAATTTTTGCGGGTGGAGACGGTGGACAACTTCTCGACACAACACCCTCATCAATACTCAGATCCCTGGCCGAAGAATCCGAATCAGGACTTCGAGTCGCGGTTTGTTCCCCTAGATCCCGTTCAGGACTTAATTTCTGAGTACAGATAACTTCTCGAGGCTTGGTCTCATCGTCTTGAGTGACGATGATCGTGGGACGTGGCTTGATTGGAGGGTACTTCCGCGTGGAATCCTCGGCTTCAAGCTCCATTTGTCGTTGGATTCGCGGTTGTCTTTGTAGCATCCGTCGGTGTTTCGACGCATAACTCGGAACCTGTGGTAAATAAATCAAGAATGATCAACAAATGCTCGGGATCCAGGAATTTAGACAAAGAATAACAAGCTCACTTGTTGTGACAAAGAACAACAAGGTTACGTGGCAGTTTGGAAACGCGAGAAATGCGCGCAAATAAAATGATATTGTATATGTAAGGTATTATGATTCATAGGACCCACACTGCCAATTTTTTCCATAAAACAAGTCACAACATCCGAAGAATAAACTCTCCAGTTAGACCCAAAACCGACAATGAGTGTGGTAGATCAAGAAAGACAGTAAATCATTCAGTGCCTTCTGGGAAGGTGATACGGAAGGTAAATACAGCATAACCTCGTCATAACAAATAATCGCTCACAACTAAGTCGTTTCTTAGGTTCCTGCTAAATTGCTACCATGTTTACCAATTGCTACCAGCTACTGTACTGTATTGCGAAACGAGTTTTTCGTTGAAACGAAGTTATGTTACCGGTCCCAATGGCTTCGTCGTTGAGATTTCACTGCAGTGTGAATCACATCAAACTCGGTACTTTAAATTTCCTTTTCCATTCTCTAGATTTTGAAGTGAGAACAAATTCCTCACACGAACAAGCGGATATTAATAATGTACTGTAATACAAGAGATTCTACAGGTATTCTAGCAATTCCTCGCGCACATCTTCGAGTCGTTGATCAACGTTTGCAAGTAAAAAAAAAGTTCGGTCAAATTTCAGCATATTCTTGCGATTAGCCCAAAATTCCTTTAGAAAAAAGTACTGCACATTTTTCGGATTGGATTCTGGCCTTGACTGCTTTGTAACAAAAGAGGTGCAGTCGCAGAAAGCGTAAGATTACCGAATTTAACCAGACCGTCACAGAAAAATACATTTTCAAGCTTCCCTCCTGTGCAGTACATGCTAGACATATTGACAATGAATGAGAAAATCCATTCAGAGCAATAATTATCTACGAAAATCTTACAGTAGGGAAGTCAGGATATACGCTTTTTTTTAGAAGTTAATGAAGCATCGATCATGCGGGTGAACGACAAAATGAAGCGGCATAATTAAAATACCGCAATGTACTTCACTGCGTTGTAATCCTTACCGGACTTTCAGATCGATCAATACTGAAACTCCTCATGGGTCCTGGATCAGAAGTCTGAGTTTGCATAGGTGGTCGGGAAGTTTCGGGAGGCAGAAGGGTATTTTCTATTTGACTCGTGGACCTCACTGCTGCCACCATGGACGTGCTTCTTTCAGGGAACAGTTGAACAGAAGCGTCTCCAGACAAGCTGCGTTCCCTTCTAAAAAGCTCGTACTTTTTTGATACCAGAGAAAGTCGTAGGCAGCAAACTCACCGGAACTCTTTGCGCAGCCGTTTCCGAAAAGGAACAGTTTCCAACACAGGTCGCGGGGTAGCTGATGAGGTTGAGCTGAAAGACTGACTCTGGGAGAATGACATATTCGCTTCAGAAGGTACAGCAGGGGAAACTGGTTCAGCATCCGCTACAACACATGCAGTGGCTTTCCGCTTATTGGACTCCGGCGCATCCGGACTAGACATTTGAACCGGTTCATATTCTGACTCAGAAGGATGAGACGACAACAGACTGCATCCTTGGGCAGAAGAAGATGAGGAAGAGGACGAATGCCACACTGGAATCTTACCAGGGTGTATTCTACGCGCTTGATTAGGCAGATCCTGGTTCATCACAGCATCGCCAAAGCCATTTATGCGTAACAGCCTCGCTGTCTGTATGGAAACCAATCTGTATCAATTTCAATCTGATTTCACTTCTTGCATAATTTCCGACGGAAACCATTTACGATTTATGCTTGTTCCCGAATTTGTGTTCATGCAATTATATAGGCAGCACCCTGATTTTGAGCAGTAATCTCAACAGAAATAAAATTAGTCGGGCCGAAAAAAAAAAAATTCTGGTGAAAACTGCATGGAAAATATTTATTGAATACTGAAAAAAAAACGGTACAGTATTCGCATTTTACAAAAATAACCGAAGAAAATCAACCTTATCAAATAAACTCAGCAACCATGTCCCAGTTGCTTTCTTTTTACGGCGGGAATTATTTGGGTGGGGTAGCCGGGTATGCCCTCGTAAATCGTAATTATGGTTCTGTATCGTAGGCGAATTTGATAGAATTTATTCATGTCTGCACGGCTGATTTTACCAAGGAAATGTTCCCAAAATGAATCCCATCCGATGAATTCGTGACTGCCATCATTCGGTTTTATGAATGCAGAAACGTGATGACCAACCTTCAACACAGATGACAACTTGTCATCCGGGACCTCAACTTCTCCTTTGTAGACAAAATCAATAATGATTCGTAACTCGTCGATCGAAACGTCTTTCAAAATGACAATTGGGTGCTGGCAGGGGTTCTGAGTGAACAAAGCCTATAGAAAACAAGTTATAGATTAAATACCTGAAATTAAAAATATTTTAGAACAAGATTAGATACCTGGAAATACACAGATGAAGCTGCTAGAACAAGTTTGTGCGCTTGGATTTGAACTCCGTCCGCAGCAAGAGTAACATCCACAAGCATCTGCGAGTTGAATAGGTTGCATGATGCGGATGAAATGTTCATCGGGTGTTTACCCCAACGAATGCAGTACGACATTGGAGTCACCATGCTCATCACGGCATTGAACAAGATGCAGGAAGTCACGTCATTTGACTTCTTGATCGTACGACAAGATATAAAAAAAATCAAAGCTGAATCCCTGCAGAAAGATATTCAGCAAAAAAGAGGATTAACAATAGCATCGTGTACCTGCGTGGACTATTTAGAGATCCCTGATAAACAACAAATAGGAACATCCACAAGGAGTGGGGATGATTACAATACCCACTCTTGAAGCGGAAGACTGCATGGATTACGCACCTATTTTTCACCAAGGATCACCTGAAGCATACCGTTGACAATATCAGGGTAAACCCATACTTTCGGTTCTTTCACCTGCTCGAGTCTATTATTTTTCAAAGATCAAACAAGGTCAGCTCGACAGAGCTCGGACTCACGAGATGTCATTCTTTCTGACACACGAATCGCATCTTACCGGACTGCGCGCTTCCATACACATGGTCATGACCGAATAACTTGCATCAGATCCGCCATACTCGCCATGCGTTGACTGACAACGCTGTACTCATAACCTGCTGCTTCTTAACAATATGTACATTACATGGGCATGGTGATGCGACCCACAGTTCACGCAAGTAGCACACGAAGAAGCAATACAGTAATTGGTGCTCAGGGACTTTTCGCATCGCATCCCAACTGAAATCTCACTACTTCCGCCATACGTGCAGCTTTGGTACAGCAACACCATAACATTTAATCAGCTTCGGAGGGAAAACTAAATTTAGTGCACAGATGTTCAGTACTATTGGAAGGCAGTATCTGATACCAAGTGACAAGATTACTGCCACACCGGTCATACCAGTGGACATCCCCAACCGGTCGAACAGAACTCCGGCTCTGCTACTCCTATTACACTCTGTGCTGGGCGAACAACGTGAACGGTAGGACAGGCAATCGTGAGGTACGGAACGACTCTCCGTGGAGTTGAGTAAAAAAAAAAATTGTTGATACCGTACCGTATTGTAGGTGAAAAAAAAAACGAACATCCAGGTTCGCGGGAGCTGTCGTTCACGATGTGGCCCCGTTTCTTCGGCTATGTCTTACTTGGTTAGGCAAGAGACGGGAGGCGGCGCCTGTAGCAACCAGAACTGTGTCGCCCCTGCGGAAGACTAACGTACGGTCTTTCTCCCTTGGTTGAGGAGCGCAACTTTCCGAGGGTCATTGTGCTAGCGAATTTGTGTACGGATGACGGTGGTGTGAGCGCGCTCGAACCGCGATTGGATTGTTGGGACTGTTGACATGAATTGTATCTGGAGTTTTTGAATTTATTTAATTCTGCGATTTCACTGATAGATCTTTGTGTTTCGGAATGAGCTTGAGCGCGAGGAAGCGCCCGGCGCCTCCCAGAGAAGAGCAGCCGCCTTTGAAGAGATCTGCAGGTTCCAGGTCACCGAGAGCATTGACAGAAAATGTGGAAGTAAGTTATGTCGTGCATCTCATATTGTGTATAGAATAATTCCAACTGAAAGAAAATTATTATTTCAAAGGTTCCCGAGTCCAACGACATGTATTGCTGGGTGTGCCATTTGTCCGGGGTCAAGCTTTTCTGCCGGAAATGTTCGCGAAGTTTTCATCCGAATTGCGTGATGATGGGTGATGGACAAAGTTACGAGGATTACTCTTGCTACGAATGCTTGAATCTTATAGCTGCCAGAGACCCAAGCTATGGGTTAGTGCGCTGTATTTAATTTTCGGAACTGTCGGAACATATGAAGAACTGATTGTCAAATTTCTTGCAGATTTAAAATCTTGCATTTATTTTCTGTCGCTGAGATTTGCGAGATTTTAAAGTACGTCATACGCCATATGGAAGTTTACGCTATGCCCGAGGTGGGTTGTCCATCTTGTCATGAACTCGGATTGTTCGAGTACTGTTGATTTCGCTGATTTTGCAGCTGATGCCGTTCAAAATTGACCCGGAAATGCGTGAAGAAGACGAAAGGCTTCTTGGGCGTTTGCCAGTTGCGAAGACGTGGAGTGAACTGATCGAATGCGTGGAGCGCGAAGAACACGAAAGCGTAGTTCAGTTCAAACAGGAATTCTATGCTTTATTGCACCGTTACGTCGTTATCAACCGAGGTTTGCTCCGAAAAAAAAAATCGCGTTGTATTCAGGAGCATGGATCTTATGTACCTTGTATTAATCTGTCTATACAGATATCTACCTGGCTGCCTCGGAAGCCGTTCAGCGAAAATTTGAGAAGGAATTGAACGTTTTACGATTCTGTCCGGACTGCTATTTGCGAGCAAACCGCATGAGTGACGAGGCTGCTTTAGAAGACAGGGAAAAACCTGGAAATTATTTTGTCAGCGTTTGTGTACGTAGTGTCCTTTCGCGAGCCCAGCATTGCTCCGAGTATGAAGAACGAATTCGAATGTATCTTTTTCTCGATAGAGGTTACCTCATGCCTTGGTTTTCGCGAAGTACAAAACTTACCCTTTCTGGCCGGGGAAGGTCCTGCACCAGTACTCTGCCAAGTCCGTAAAAGTACGATTTTTTGGAGACCACACCATGTGAGTTTTTTCAGCCTGTTTTAAACTGGATTTTGTTGGAATTTTGTGTTTCTTGCCTTGTGTCATTTTTCGTTCATTTTTTATGCTACATTTCTTTTAAAATATGCAAGGTCCAGTTAGTTTTTGCGTATGGCGGAAGCGTAGGTGTTCTTGGCTAAATTTTCAGACGATGTGACGGGTTGGTTTCGATTATAGCAAATTTCTTTTGGCGGCATATGTGTATTTTAGGAGCACATGTGAGCTAAAAAACACAACACTTCTGTCCGAAAAACCACCTGGCTTGAACAAGAAAAGCATGAGTGCTTTCTCGGAAAGCATGGATGAGCTTCGAGAACACTTGAAAGAACTGCAGCGAGTTCTCGGAAGTCCTGTGAAATACTCTCCCCCTGGGACTTCTTACAGTGCACTGCAGTGTGCCTCTGTTTTGAAAAGCCAAATGCCAGGAGTGAGACGATGTGAAAAATGTCTTGGGGGATTCTTATCATTCATTTCTTTCCGTTCATTTCTAGATTGTAAAGATGTTGCCCGTTTTGGATTTCTCCGAAAGCAGTTTTATGATGAAGAGAGGAGCTTCGTGTGGACCTCCTGGGCCATTTATCCCTTTTCTTGCGTGAGTTTCTGTACATCATATGGATTTTTTCTTGTTAGAACGCAACGGATTCAGTTCTGATGTGTGTATAGGATCACTGAGTTGTGGAACTGACTGAATGCAATTTTCGAAATATTTTAAGATTTATATAAAATATTGCCGTTGATCCCAGAGATCAGCTGCTGATGATATGCCGTTGAATCGAAGACCTATATTGTTAGCCTTTCCTTTCTACGTATGTAGAGTTATTCATGCACGTACGATGATGTCTATCCCGGTCGATACTTTCAGCGATCCCGTGAAGTTGAGCGTTGCTCAGCTAATAGCTGCGAGAGAACGGGTTCTCTTCAACAACAAACCACGGAAATCGTCTCGGGACTCCTCCAGCAACGCAGTCGTCAAAACTGCGGTTCAAGAAAAAATCCCGAAACTGAAGGTGAATCTGAGCTTGCAAAACGTGCTCAGTTCTGGTCCGGAATTGCGGAAACGTCCGTCGGTTGACAAGGGTTTGCGAACAGTGGCGTCTGCCGGCCCAGCCCATGTTTCTGTTCTAGATCTGAAGCGCAATGGTGAGTGTTCGTGTATTGAAATCCTGTCCGCTCTGTTTGTCGACCTAAGTTCCGGCGTGTTATCGTAGCGAGTGTATCGTGTTTGTTCTCTATTCAGGATATTCCTGAATCGTCGGAAGTAGATTTTTGAATGACCAGTTTAACGATATTCATCAGAGATGATGCGTCTTCTTTCCCGATACTTGTTGAGAATTCCTGCCAAGCTGGTTGAAGGCGAAAATTTCCGAGGCTTAGGATGCTTACTACGCAATTTTTTGTTTCCGCTTCAAACCTGTTACTTTCGAGGATGCTGTGTTGGCGTTTTTACGGAGATTTTAGTATACAGTGGACGTACTAATTTTTATCGGTCTGTCAAAAAATGATGAAAGAAAGCGCATCCTATCTGAGAAGCAAAATTGAATTATACAGTTTTGCTCAGTCCGAACATTTGAATTTGTCAATATTCCCAGTATGACTCAACTTTTGCTGCCTTGAAACTGATGACTATCAATCGCCGCTGGAAGCGATTCGGAGTAAGAATTTGGATCATTCTGGAATACGGTTTTCTTTCGTGTGATTTATTGGAAGATTTACTTTAGAAGAACCAAGACTTTAATCTGAAATATGGCCTGAACGGCAAAAGAAACGAAACGAGACATTCATCATGCAATAGTTCGAGATGTTGTTAGGTCCAGTTCGGAATAATGGGAGTGTCAAGTCATTGTCCTCAACCTGTATTGGAGTAAGAGTTCATCCTGGGTTTGTTTTATTTCATAACATTCCGATCTGCGGATTGGCAACATTTTCCGCTGTGATTTCTAGTTATTTGGTGTGGAAGAAAGAGGAGGGGGAAGGTTTTTTGAAGTGTTCGAGCGGTTTTGAAGGAACCTGCGAGTTGGTGAGGCGCAATTGTGAGAGAAGCCCCGTTGGAAAGTACGCAGCAATGGGAGTCGGTGCCGTCGCCCATTGTCGCGTCATTTTCCAACGTGACCTTATCCACGTCCATCTTGGCGTAACCATAGATTCCCGTTCGCTCACGACAGTCCCTCTCTTTAAAACGGCGCGAGCGTAAGTGCGTCGTTGTATTCTTTCTTTTATCGCTCCTTCTCTCCCCCCCCCGCTCCGCCGTAGGTTCGAAAAGCTCGCCGGAAAGGACAGAGACTGAGAACGAGCAAAGCGAGGAGGAGGAGTCTGATCCGGAGCCGGACGATGAGGACGAGGAAGAGAGCTCAGGCGAGGAGGCCAGTCAGCCGGAGCGCCGGCTGCCAGACAGGGAAGCCCGCCGGCGGGGAGACACGGTGAGACGCGAACCGGAAGCGGTCACTGTCCCCGCGCCGGACGTTCCTAGTGTAAGTTCCGTGTCGGATGACGCCGGCAGCAGCAGCAGCAACAGCAACAAGAACATGTGTAGTAACAGCACTAAAATCAAGAAGCCGAGGCGCTCTGTCAGTGAGCGTGCGTGCAAGAAAGCTAAGCCCGTCGAAGAGGCTGTTGAGTCGTCCGCGACCGAAGAATCTTCTTCGTCCACTGCCTCTTCTTCGTCTGACGATGAAGAGGTTGTTGAGTCGGAACACGATGCGGAGCGAGGGGAGCCGGAACTTGATGTTGCGAAACAAGTTGAACAACCGGTTTCGTCGGCTGTTGAAATTGATGCGAAGCAGGAAGCGACAAATGATGCTCTTGCTCCTCTTGAAGACAGTGCGACCGCTGGTGATACATCCGTTGATGCACCGAATATTCAGGTTAATGAAGATGAAACGACACGGGTTGAAGAACCGGAAGCGAACGTGTCTGAAAACGCATCCATTGGAAATGCTTCTGCAGAACCCACTAAAAATGAATCAGTACCTGTGACATCCGAGTCCACGGTTACGATTTCGTCATCGAAAGTTGAAGTCTCAAAAGTTACGAACGACGCGAAAGAACAGGATTCTGGCATCCTGATTGTCCGTCGTGCGCGACCCCCTCAGGGTGGCGGCGAAGAAGAAAAAGGCGCCGCTTGTCCCGAGAAAAAACCTCGGATGGTTCCCGAAGGGATAACTATTACCTCGGTGGGGAAAAAGTCTGGGAGTTCGTCGATCGTGATCAATCCCGCGTCAACGAGTCCCTCTGCCGTAGGCAAGGTCAATGCTCCCGGCGCAAAACAAGGATCTTCAACAGCGGCTTCGACGAAGCGGTCTTTGGACGCGAACGATAATCATGTGGCCTTCGAAAACAAGGGCGTGTCGTTCAGGAAAGTTACCTTAACCAAGGTAATTGACGAATTAAAATTCATTTTTTATTGCTTTTCTGAAAAATTTGGTTGATACTGAACAATTTGGTTGAGGAAGCACGCTTTACTTCGACAGCCATTTTTTTGTGCAGCGCGATCGTTCTGTGAGCTCTTGAAAAAATTAAAGGTTCGAATCGTTGATTCTGTTTGTTAAGAACAGATTAGGTGTTTGACATTGATTATTTGACGTTCTGTCGCTCTTTTACCTTCGAAGGTTCTGCCTCATGTTACATCCAATTGTGTTCTGGAAGAGACTTTAAATCTGTTATAAATTCAAATCCACCGCTTAACGGAATTACTTTCGGTACATTATTGAGATACATGTATTGATCGATGTTCTATACTTATTAGAGTACAGGATAAAAAAATCTCGCTCGCGCCTTTTCAAATAATGCAGAATTGTAAAGATACATTTTGATTTTGAGTTGATTCTTAGCATCCCGATATGGGTACTGGAGAGCATTAATCGCCATTATTTTTGTCTTTCGCCGGTGTGAAAGAAGGAGTACGTTTTGCAGTCTTCGAGTACGCATACAGTTCTACGTGCAGTACGTTGTTTCTGCCGTATTGGGCATGATTATATAAGTTCACTTTCTTGATGAGACTTGTTTAAAATGGTTGATTACTTTTTAAATTTCGCACGATTTCATTAACTAGAAATCACTCAAACGTTCGTCGGGGATTTTTGTGCCGTACAGAAATTTCTGCATTGAATGTTCAAATGTACTTATTTTTTCCCGATGGATTCGAGGAACTTTTTGTGAGGGAAATTCTATCTAGATTTTTAAAAGATGGACGATAATTCAATAACAGTTCCGAGGACGGATTGATCATGCTATACAGTATTTTCGTCATTTTGATTTGGGTTACATTTGTTATGCATCTGAAGTTCATAATTAACTGGGCCGGGTCTACATTTTTCTGCTGTACAAGCTCTTTTTTTCTGATCAAACATTTTTCTTGGTGTTTCATTCCTATGCTCAATTTCACTGTTTTTGCCGTATCATAAACCTCCACAGTACTTTTTCGGTCTATTGCAAAAACTCAAATTAAATAATGCGTTTTTTTCTTCGTGTTCACGTCGAATCATTTGAATTATTCATCCTTGTTAGGGAGGTTGGAAGATCGCCATAGCACCGGATAAAAACACGACGAAGCGTAAAGGTGCTCCCCCTCCGCCTAAATCCGCACAGTCGTCGCCCCCACCGTTACTTCCCCTGGAAGCACTATCGAATGCATCTGGGGGAACTAAGCAGAAGGTGTTCCAGATCGGCTCCACGGTGCTAAGCGGTCCGGAAGTGAGTGTGACAACCATTTCCGGCGACCGCAATCTCGAAAGTCCTGTGAAAAACGTCGTCAAAACCTACGCGAACAGAAACAAGGATCTGTTGGTGAAGCGAAAAGACCTCGAGCTTCGACGCGTTTCAAACAAAGCCATGTGAGTATTTATCAACTTTTTTCTATTAATTCTGCTTGAAGGGAGCCAGGAAATTTTTCGAGTGTTTAAAATTCTTGAATGATTTGGCTTAGAAGATTTTGGATAAATTACGTACTTGAGTGCTGTAAAATAATGTATTAATGAACTTCAGGAAACTTACCTGGCATCAAACTTTTCTGACTTTGCCAGGCTTCCGGCTGAAAAATATGTTCGATGCCTTGTAGTTTTCCAGCGTTACTTGGCTTTTCGGAAATACTGTTGAACCGTGATTATTCGAACCTCCTCAAGTCGAATACCTCCGTATGTCCGTTGTTTTTAAGTCCTCGTCAGACTTCCCTTGGATCTTGGAAACAATGCATTTAAAAAAACCCCCCAACTCGAATGTCCTCCTACTCAGACATCCTTGACCAGAATTTTCTGATGGACTTCGGCTTTATTGACAGGAAAACAATAAAAGGTAACTTGATGTGATTGAAAGGAAATGAAACACTAATCGAGCAAAGAACCCGTGCCTCCAATTTCGGAATTCTGTCATCTTCTTTACGAGACAGATAAATTAATGTCAACTTCCGTGAATTATTTTTCAAGGCAGAAAAGGTAGTTTCTCTGACTGAAATTATTTATTAACTCGAATGTTTAGCTGGTCCCATGAAATTCGACGCGATGGGGTCCAACTCGCATGTACAGTACCTTATAATGAGAGGTGCGTAAAATTCGCTATACTGTTCAGCTTTATGAAATTTGGCAAATTTTTGCTGGTTATTCGGTAGTTGAAAAGTATCAACTGCGCTTCTCCGCCTAACTTTCTTCCAAACCTTGAGAACCTTTTTTTGTGTGTGTGTGACGAATTCCCTCAAAATTTTATCGTTTTCCCTCAGCATCGAGAAGCCGCCTAAGCTAGATGCAGAGACGTGCACTGTGGAAAAAATTCTCACCGCGTCGCGGCAACCTCAGTCACGCGTTACTATAGTGCGCAGTCGTGCCAGCGTTGGAACGAACGTGTCCTTCGGCTCGAATCGTCCGTCTCCGCCGCCATCGACAAACGGCATTGCAGCAACAGAAGCTTTCAAGGGCGACTCCCCCGAAGTGGATCCATTGAGCCAAACGAAACGTGTCAACGTGGCCACGATGGCGATGTCTCCTCCGCATCGCCGCGGCGGAACGTCGTCGTTTCATAAGAAACCCGCGCTGGTTGTTACCGGGTTCCCGAATCCCCTGGAACCTCAAGTAAAGCTTGCCGCTGATTTTTATTTTGTGTGTCAAAACTTTTTTTGCTCTATTCTCGTTTAAATATAGTTGTCATATAATTTGAGCGTTACTGTACTGCATTACAAAAGGTTGCATAGTGAATAGCCTTCAACGCGTTTTAAAAACCCAAAAGAAGGATAGGAAGTGCTGCCCTGTTCAGCTTTTAATTGAATGCATTTCGTTTTCGTGTAAAAAGATAAATTATACCTCCCAGTTTGCAACTAAAGACGCGAATCATGAACGAGTTCCACATGAAATCCCTCTCAAAGCCTCGTGTTGATTCTCATAGGTTAATTCATAAAACCAATCGAACTTTCTATTCAAAAATGCTGAGCGTATTCCTTTCCTTCCGAAGTTTGATAAGAATTTGTATGGTATGTGAGTATAAACCTGACGCAGGAACCCAAGAAAAACACAATTTTGTCGTAGGGAATTTATTGTTCTCATTAATTATACCGGCTGAACTGAAAACTTACACCGATCTTCGAACGGTGGTGTGATCGATATATAATCCGAAGTATCTGAACAGTTTGAGCTATCATCTTGAAAAAAGAGCTACCGGTATCTTATCCATGTTGATGCAGTATAATTTAAGTAATACTGTAGTAGATACGCCGCGTTTTTAAATTTTGTTCTTCGCAGTTGGGAATTGGAGAAGTAATTTTTTATTCATCTTTGTTTTTAATATACAGTATTGGAATGAGCTTTTAAACCATGGAATATTCGTAGGTTCTCCTTGAGGAAGGTGTCTCCCAACCCGGGGTTGACGAAGACGAAGATGAGGACGACATTTTGGAAGATGACGTGGAAGACGACGACGTGAAACCGGACATCGACGAACTGGACGCAGCAGTTGCCACGAACAAAACCTCCTCTGTAGAAGCTGTGACGACCTCAACGCCGACTTCGGTAAATGTGACTCCGAAGGGGTCGAGTAGTAGTTCACAATCCATCATGCCGGTCAGGGGCAAAATCCAGGTCAAGTCGTTCGCCAGTGCGCCGAATTCAACGTCATTGTCATTGAATGCCGTGTCTTTGCCTGCTGGCGTCTCAGTCGTCCGACCGCAGATCTCCGTTGCACCGTCTACCTCAAGTAGTGGTGCACAACGCGGAACGGACAACACTAGCCCCGAACTTCAAGGTCTTGTCAGTCGGGTGAGTTCCCTTTCTTTTCTTCGTATGTCTCCTTTTCTGAGGAAGTCTTGATTCGTGGAAAGAATTTCATTCGGCGGATTGTATATTTTTTTGAATATTACAAACGTACAAGTAATTTTTAAATAACGTGAATTGATAACGTAGCGTTTGCTTTGGCAAGCAGGTGTGACCAATGGAGAAGCAAACGAAGTGATGAAACAGCTTTGTTGACGATGAAAATTTTTTAGGAGTTGAAAGCGAAAGTAATCAAAGGAACCAGTCGTTGAAATTGAAAGAGTGCAATATTGTGCCTCAATGTTTCTGTAATATTCGACTTGAGTTAAATCTGCGTTTGAGAATAAAAAACGTTCGGAGGGGAATATTTATGCTACCTTTGTACCTTTCGCTTTTTGGCCACTGGTTTTACTAGATGTTGTGCAATTTTCAGTTGTGGGACATGATCCCTTATAAAAGTATGTATGATTATGAATCCCTTTAAAACTGAAGTGGGGCTCTCTAGGGCAAAATTCTATGATACGGGTGGAGAACCCTATGCGTTTGGGACCCAAGAAAAGTCGTTCTGCAACGAAAAACATTGAAGGGAAAATTATTGTCGAAATTTTTGTACGGTATCTGAAACATTCTTTCGGGTGTTTTTTTCGAAGATGATAATTTTCTAGAGATGAGTTTTGACGAAGTTCGAATTGATGCGGTTCTTGGATTAAAACTTGATGCTTCGATCGCCATTCTGAGGTTTTCTTTTTTAATTCAGATGAAAAAATGTCACGATGTCCACCGTGTTCCTCATAGTTATCGCTTTCCGTATTACAGTACTGTATACCTAAATTGATTGCGCTTTGTTATCTGACGGATTTGTTTTCATTGAACTTATTGTATCCTTGGGTTTTTCCCACTCTCTTGCAGTGTATGCAGTTCCTGAGCTCAGAGGTTTCGAGTGAGTATTTTCCCCGAAATCGTCTCATGAGTTACAAATGACTGTTGATCGCGTTTCCGGTGGTATTTTTCATAGAATAATGAGCGCTTATTTTTATTTTCAATTTTATACTGTTAAAAGCTTATACGCTACCATGTAAGCAGAGAAACTGACCTGTTCATAGATTGCTTTCATGAAAATTCAACCCGGCAACTTGTTTTTTCTTATGAATTCGCTGTTGTATTTCTTGTTTATTTCGATAGTAGTTTTAGTTGAAAATATTGCATCCGAACATTCTTCAGATTCGTAGTACCGCTAAGGTTTCAGCGTTTTCGAAATCAGTGAAACGCAATCGTTGGTGTCACATGATCGGAACTTCGTATTTCGTTCAAATTTTGGATTCTTTGATTGAGATGATCTTCCATTTTTGCTTTAGATTTCCTGAAGAATCAGTTGTCAAAGCAAGGTCAGCAACATCAAAGTCGAGAGTCGGCTTTGCAAGCCCAGGTACAACAGATGAAGGCCACTATAGATTCGTTGTGTGCTGACAACAGCCAGTTGCAAGCTGAAGTTGCATTCCTGAAAAACCGCGTCCACGAATTGGACGGGGTAAGTGTTCACACAAATAAGTCTGTCTTTGCCGCAGCGTGTTTTTATTCTGCTTGTAATAAAACAGGAAAAAAGCAAAGACGAAATATTCTGCGAGAAGCTGTTCGAAGCGCTCACTGCCATTTTTTTTATCAATTTAGAGCCAGGGGAACGATCTTTGTTACCAGTTTTATTTTTGCCTGGGATTTCATCTTCTGTGTGTTCGTGTGTGCTCGGAAGTCGGAAGGGTATGGGGCAAATTATGAAATGATTGGTATGTGCATGGGAACGTGCTTTTTGCTTTGTAGAAGAGGTTCTTTGAAGGGGAAACGTAGTCTCTTTTTGTCGACAAACTTTTCTAGTTGGTCATGTAAGCATGTTCTAGTCGGGTTGTGGGAAAGATGTCGCGGCGCCGGTTGGTTGGTTGATTGATTTCCCGTATTTCCGAGCCAACGATTGTATTTCGCTGATCAGGACGTGGTGAGGCCGAGTTTTGTGGGCAGCGGAACTACAGGAAAATGCAAGAAGCTGAGACCTGTTTATCGCTGTGACAAACTCGTGAGTTTTTCTTCCTTCTCAATTCGTTCTTATTTCGATTTAAATTTCTGCTCCGCATATCGCGAAAACCCCGGTGTTCATCTGACCCGCAGAGGTAAAGCCCAAGTAAAACCAATCCGATGATTGTGACAGGGTTTGCTGAACACTGCTGGCTGATGTTCGTATCCAAAGTAAAACTGGGATCGAATGCGCTGGTCGGTGAAAATATAGAACAGTGTTTCCCAAACTTTTTGGGCTCAGGGCTGGCAAATTTCCATAAAATGTTTGCCGACCAACATTTAAAAAAAATACCTGCCATGAAATCCTCCGTTCAAAAGTTGTTAAAGAATGAAGTTAAGAACCAATGAAGCAGTTACTTTATAGTGGAATGTAGAAAAAAAATAAAAGCTGGGTTTTAAGAAAGGTCTCCCAGAATGAAAACTTGGAAAGATTCATTTCTGATCGTGAAAATGTTTCTGCAGTATTATTGGGAGAAAAGCCAACTTTTATTTTTCATCAGATGATTTCAACTGCCATTGTCTTCCCGAAATTTCAGATGAAGATGATAGACTTCATCATTACCTTTGATAAATTAATTTTGGTGAGCAAATTTCGCTGGTCCGCGGACCATGGGTTGCAGACCACTGATATGAAACTTTTAGTTGTACCATAATAATAATACTAATACTAATAATTTCCTTCATGAATGAATAAGCCCCGAATCGTTGCCTAAAACTCTTTTGATTGTTCTGTTGCCACATTAAAAAAGTTGGAAGTGTGAAAATCCTGCTTTCAATCAAATTGTCGACACACTGAATTCTAGAAGGCTTTTCAGTTGCGTTTAATTTGTAGTGCGCGTGGCCTCTCTGCAACGATCATTTCCACAAGGATTTTCTCCGTACAGTACAGTATAAGGAATTTTTGTTTATTCCGTTAGGGTTATCTCCCTATGTAGTATGGGTTCTCTTCAACGAAATTCTTTCTGCAACACATTTTTTACCAGTCCCTTGAATTTTGCTTTAGAAAGTCCCCCTGTCTTTCAACAAATTTTTTTGGAATCATTTCTTTAAGAAAATGTTCCGCATCGGGCCTTGGCAAGAATCCGCCTCGTCTGCGAGGTGTACCGTATCCTTTGTGTGAACTGACGTGCATTGATCTGATGTTTCCAGTGAACCATACATGTGGGCTTGTACCGCTTTTTTGACTGTAATACTGCTTACATAGTGGATGTACTGTGCTTAGAAGGCAGGTTGTCTTTAACTTGTGTAAAACTGGCTCGATCAGACAGCGCTGAACCTAAGCTTCATCTGTGCGAAGTTTAGGTGGAATTTTTTTGCGTCCTGGTGAGCATCAAAGAGACCTCTTACATGAACTCCGGGATGCTGCAAATTTCTCCGAAGACTTGCGGGTTGCTTGTTCAGCTACTTTCTGTGCAGTGCAAAATCTGGAAAGTGAAGGAATTTTCAATTCAGGGAAAACGACCTTGAGATTATTGGTCAAGTTCGAATCTGATTTGCGCTGCGCGATTAGTGGTGTTTCTCTGTAGTGTTGTTGCTGCATTAATTTTATGGGAGTTTTCAATGATTCGCAGTTTTCGTAATCGGGCTGTGGTGAAGGAAAGCTTTGTGTGAATTTGCGTAGGAAAATGCTGCGATGTTTTGTATGCTGGTCTTTCCTCTGTCGAAACCCGTCGATTCATCTGTCGAAGACGCTTTATGAATATTACGATTTTATTGTAAAGCCTTTGAAAAGGAAACGCACACTTGATTCGACTTTTTCTAGCCATGCATTTTTTCTAATGTAAACGCGTGTAATGCGGATCGTTCGAAAGTCCTGGGGAAGTTTTTGATATTTTAAAGGAACAAATAGTGAGATAATTGATACGTACTGAACTTCGATCTTTTCATTACTTTTGTTCTGTATTCTGCTTTACCGCTGGAGTCTTCTTGGGTGGGTGTAGAAGAAAATCTATTTTACGGAGTAATGTTTGATAATTATTTCCTTTGCACTCCTTCAGTTTTGTTCTCCGAGGTTGAAACGGGAAAAATCAAGCTGAATTACTCGTTTTCGTCGCTGTGAGACGGAGCATTTTATCCCCAGAATAAAACAAAATTTAAAACAGGAACAGTGTCCCGTACGAGGGTTCTAACAGAAGTTCTCGGAGTAGCAATGAAAATTGCCTACAGTTGACCTGAAACAAATTTTTTCTTTAGGGAAAGCATATTCTTTGGAACACAAAAAAATATCAGCGCTGTTCGACAAATTTCTTTGAATTTTTTTCATAATTCACCCTGGCAGAGTTTTGCTCTCCAAAAACTATTGTCTCCACTCAATAGATGAGGCGCCCTTTTTTTTGCTGTAGCCCATCTTTCCCCTCAGAATTTTTGAAATCAACTTGACATTCTTTCTAAGGGTTGCCTCCAGGTCATCCAAGGCAATTCCGCCATTTTCATTGACAGCCGCCTTCACAGCTGCCAAAGTGGCGACCAATGTGGCGGCTGTGAAGGCGGCTTTTGATGAAAATGGTGGAATTGCCTTGGATGACCTGGAGGCAACTCTTGGAAAGAATGCCAAGCTGATTTTAAAAATTCTGAGGGGAAAGCTGGGCTACAACAAAAAAAGGGCGTCTTGTCTTTTGAGTGGACAGTAAAACTCTACCAGGGTGAATTATGAAAAAAATTCCAAAAAAATTGTCAAACAGGGCTGATATTTTTTTATGTGCCAAAGAATATGCTTTCCCTAAAGAAAAAATTTGGTTCAGCTCAACTGTAAGCCATTTTCATTGCTACTCCGAGAACTTTAGTTAGAACCCTCGTATTTGAAAGCCATGTAAAAAAAAATCTTGTCATCTATGTAGTTTTGATTTTAGTGGTTGAAAATATTTAGGTGGGGCTGAAATGTCAATGGGTGAGGAATTCAACACAAAAGCCGACATTGAGTAAAAATATTGATGAAATGAACAGAAGTTTTTAGGTCTCGTTACGATCCCACATTGATTAGAAATATTTTTATTCAGGAACTTCGATACTCAAAGCACTTGTTAATTTCACGGTATCAAAAGTATACCAACTTTTTCAATTTACGACACGGGAAAAATGTCGTCAGTTAACGCGCAAGAAGTTCACGTGTGGAATTAATGATTGTCTTATTCCCGAAATTTGTGTTCAAATTATGTTAGATTGTTAGTACAAGGAGTAACAGGTATCAATTTGGGAAAGCTATATCCGTATCGCACGTGAAAGGCTTTTGTGCTCAAAATTTCTGCGCAGCGGATCTTGTAAGTGCATTCGCGTGGTTTGGGCCTTGCTGGAAGTCAGCGAATTCGGTTTTTCCTTTCAAAACTTGAAATCAGGAATATATTTTTTCTATTTTGCCAGATTGGCCAACATTGAGGCTTACAAAGTGGATAGAGTTCCATTGTTGATAACGCATTGAAAAAAAAAAAACTATTAGACATTAACGCTGTCCATTGGAAATAATTTCTAGTGTCAGACAATCTTTTTTTTAGAAAGCCAAAATTTTGCGTCGAGTCGTTCCGCGTTCTGAAATAGTTGCAGTGATCGAGGCGAGCTCAAGAAGGGAGAGAATGCCGAATTGTTTTTCAATTGCCTGACGTTCTGATTGTCTTGAACTAAGTTTGGTTGATGGTGTGGGACTCATGTCCTTTTTTCTCTTCTATCTTGTATTATTCTCAGAATGAGACTGAGGGGAAAAGTGCCAGCGACGACGAGGCAATAATCCCGAAAGACGCGTTGCAAGCGAATCTTGTCCCTAATGTGTCGCAAGACGTGGTGATCCTCGACCGTGACAACGATTCGTCCTCATCCTCGTCACCAGTGTCGGTGGCCTCGTCGCAGCAAGACACTCCTCCGACCAGAATATACGTTCTCAAGAACCCCGAGAGCCTCATCACGGGTTCGGGTCCAAGCGTACTCCAGCAACTCACCAATGCTGGCTCCAAGTTGACTGTGACTCGGACAAGTGCGTCTGCTTCGCCAGCAACGTCGGCGTCGGCAGCGACGTCGCCGCGGAAAAAGAAGCGTCGACGTTGCGGCAAGTGTAAAGGATGTAGCGTGCCGAACGACTGTGGCGAGTGTAGGTCGTGTGCGAATCCGCGAAGGCACCAGGTTTGCCTCCTGCGTCGTTGCCAGGCCCTTCAAAGAATCCGTGTTTCTAGCAGTGTTCCCAAATGAGGCTAAATTGGAAAATTTATGGCGTATTTACGCTTTGGAAGTATTGGCTGTCCCGGATAGAAAAAGCAAAAAACAAAAAAAGACACGCGGATGGCCCACTGAAACGCAATACATTTTCACCTGCTGCGCACGGATACTTGAAAAAATTTGGTGGTCATGGAGCCACTTCCGCGTACAATGGTGCCCGTAAAGATATAAGGATTTTCTGGTTTCCGCGCGAAATTGGGAAGAAATTTACCATTTTCCGAAGTTATTTAATTATTGCCATATTTAATTAAATAATGTTGAATGTTTTACTTGACGCGGAAACCAGACAATGCTTGTGCCTTGAGTTGCTCGTGGGGTGTTATGAAATGCTTCATTCCATATGACCCTAATTTTTGACGATCATGTGTGGTTCAAATTTTAAATCACGGAAAGGTTTGGTTATGTTTGGATTATTTTTGGTACGGTTTTCGAAAAAAAATTCTGAGCTAAGCAGACGAATGTCAGAAGGATTTTTCATTTTCGATTCCCCTCCTAATTTTGTTGAGGTGCACAAAGCGTGCATTGTGGAAAAGGAAAATCGTGTGTTCGTGAAACATCATTGACAATGAGGTTTAATCGGAAATTCTACGGAGTGTTGTTTCCTTCAGTTTTTGGTTCGTTTTGGTAATTGAAGATCGAATAATTTCCCGTATTGTGTTGAAAAAAAGTACGTTTGGAGGCATTCTGTGGTATTTTTTCAACTGATTCTCTTAGTTTGTCTTGACAGTTCATTCATTGATTTGTGAGATTCCTGTGCGAGGTTTTCCGCGAATAGGTGCGCTTAACCTCATGTGGGTTGGATTGTTTTACAGATTCATCATCCTTGATAAACGCTTTTAGTTCTTGGAGATGGGGCGGACAAATTCCGCTTCGAAGATGTAGCGAGTTACCCGTAATTTCAAATTTTTCAGAAATTTTTATAATCTACTTCTGGGATACTGCACGGGGGAAAGGGGGGGGGGGCGGTCTTCATGGAAATTAGTCTATTTTTCAAATGAGTATGATTCGGGGTTGGTTTTTTGGAAGTACAGTAATTCTTGCTTGAGTAACGAAGGAAGCATTTTGAACAGGTTACAAAAGGGAGACGATTTCTTTCTTCTCTACAAATCTTGTGATGGAAATGTAGGACGCTGAAATCGCAGGTGAATTACTCAGTTGGATTTTGGAATTTTTTTTATCGTTCGGTATAATTTCGTTGATACCGTGAAGTGAGCTTATTTTTTGTCGTTGTTCAGGCGTCGAGGTTTAGTAACGTCTCGGAACTTTTCATGTTCTTCGGCTTTCATGTGTTTTCATCCGTTTTCCAAAAATCTGTTTTCGTCCCCGGCGGAAAGAGAAGGCAACTTCCTCGACGGTTGCGGCTGCATGTTAGCAACTTTTGAGGTGTGTTTTTCAAGCTGCCGAGCGTAGAAATGGAAGACGGTTATTTGGGCATGTACGGATTTTTTGTGACTTTTGCTTTGTAAAACTCCTGTTTCGTCATTTCCGTAGTGGTAATGTGTCCTCTAATCGTACTGATACAACTGAACCGTATTGTCGTGACTTCCAGATGAAAAATGTCTGCCCATGAGAGGATTGGTCCATCAGTTTTGTAACTTGGAGATGGATGAGAATTTCTTTTCATCCGTCGTTCCACCTTATTGATCTTATTCGGATTTCTTTTTTTTCTATTTGAAACGAAGAAAAAAAGCTTGAAATATATTCCTTCTAACTTCCAAGCAAAATTATTTCGTCAAAAAATGAAGGTCATCCGAGAGGGGACACCCATTTGGGTAGAATTTATCATTTGAAAAATGTCAAATTCTTCGAGTTTTTTTAAGCACTGGTATTTCCCGACCGGACGACGCCTTTTGCTGAAGAAACTTTTTATTAATTCCGATCAGTCGCAGACCTTATGGACCAACCCTGGTTACTTCAAGCAGGTTTTGTTATTCGTAGATCCGTTTAGAGCAGCATGAATGTTGTTGTTGGAACTTCGTGGACAGAATTTTTCCAGAAATCATCTCACTGGGTTTGTGACTTCTTGTTCGTTCTCGTGGATCGAGGAATTTTTGGCAGTGATGCTGCTTGAACAGCTTCTCGAGAATGAGTACGCGTGTAAAATGAATCTTTTGATGTCTGTGTCTTGGGTATTCGGTCAAGAAACATTGAAGATTCAATTGCATTTCCGCACTTGACCGTTTCAATCCAATTGTTTCTGTGGACCGAAAATCGAGCTTAACTGAGCAATTGGTGGTGGTTAACGTTCTCTTGCGTGCGAAGTTGTCAGTACGCGATTTTCGGTGCTTTCATTTTTTGGTTCAAAGCAAGAATAATTTTCTGTTTGAAATACTGGAAAGGAGGAATTTCTTCAGTTCTAAATTGAAAAGAAGGGTTTTTCAGATCTTCTTGCTTATAATTAGAAACGTCGGTAGAACACTTCAAACTCGTTGAAAGGTTAGAATTACGTAGGAGTTGAGAATCTTCGAGACATTTCAATTTTTCATTTGTCTTGAGGATTCGCGTCGTTTTATAATTTGAAATTATAAATGAATTTAGACAGAAGATGGACGATTCTTGATCTTTTTCAACATAATGCGAGACGACTTCTCACGCAAATTTAATGAAGATGAAATTCATTGGTATTTGAGTTACCCGCGCTCATTTCGACCCCGTAATAAAATTGAGGTGTCTAGTAGAATGAATATTTGTACGATATGTAAATCAATTTGAGAAATGTATTTTTATGGGGCGATGAAAAAATTTGTTTTAAATCTAAAAGCAAGATTTGAACGAAATCGAGAAAACAAAGAATGTCAAGTAAAGGTATGAGAAGCAACTCGCATTCTTCGTGAATTATGTTATTCTCGAACTATGGATCAGTTTTTCATCAATTAAGGACGTGGTAATCACAATTATTACTTTGTCCTTCTCAGATGAATACTTTTTCGCTTGGAAGAAGACTGCAGTGAGTCTCTTGTGTGTAATTTATCTTAGCAATGCATTGTTTCATGAGATCCTTCCGTTGGAAAATTTGTGGAACGTCGCTGCAGTATAGCTTTTGATTTAGAATCTCGTTACAACGAGGCGTTCGGGACCCTGAAAAACCTTCGCTATAAAATAAAATTTGTTTAAGCGAAATTGAAATAAAATTGTGCCTATTGGACAGGAACCAAAAGACAAATTCGTTGTAACCATTCATTCGTAATTACGATTCGTTGTAACGAGACTACTTCGAACGAGGTCGAGCAACTCGACTTGACCTCGACAGCGAACTTCATTAAAATTTTTATTGCCAAGAACTTGAAGAATCCATCTTAGAATTTACGGTGTCTCTTATACCGGTGAATACTGCGCATTAAATTATTTGCAAATCAATGAGAAAAACGGGAGTGGAATTGATTTGGATCCCGCCCTTCCGGAGGGCGGGAAGATTCTTGGAATTATTTTTTCATTGTTTCCTTACTCGAAAAAAATGAAACGTTGACAGCAACTGGCCCGATTTCATCAACTGCCTGAAGTGATGGGAAGTGGGAGTCACCTGCAGGCAGCTATGGTGGGTTTCAGACCCGTGCCTGCAAATCGACCGCCGATACTGTTACCTGTGGCCCCGCGAACAAACATGGTGCATCATTTCTCAGGGAAAAATGCGCAATCCTGCTTCGTGAACCAAAATGGCGTGCAATTGATCCCAGGAACCAGATTCCAGGGGCCGGGTCCTGTTGCTGTGCCGAGTGGATTTTCTCTTCAGGTTGGCTTGTCTTATCCGTCGTGATTTGTTTTTCTCGCAGTTTCTCCTCACTTACGCAAATTTTCCTTGAGATGCAATCGTATCGAAAATTAACGTCGGGGCATAGAATTTTGCATTTGTGGTTTGAAGAAAAAGCATTCGATCAGATTTTGTTTGACTCCGCTGTCGAATCTCTCTAGTCGAACTTCGAGGGACCAGACAAAAATTCGAGTTAGGGAAACAATCTTTTATTTTGAGGTGAGGACATTTTAATTGGCGGTAGTCTGGGCCTTGAATTGCTTCTTCAATGAGTTGATAGGATCCTGAAGTTGGAGGCAAGGGTTCATTTGCCTTACTGGTCTTCTTTTCCCTTTTGAGGCACATCAAGGGACATTTTAATTGATTTTCCCGTCTTGTGTCAATAGAGTTATAGCTGTAAGGCCATTAGAAAATTCAAGTTATGGAGGTTAAACGGAGAAAGCCTTCTAGTTATGAAGGTTTTCAGTGCATTGCTTTCTAAGAAAATCGAAAAAAAAATCGACATACGGAGGTATTCGACTTGAGGAGGTTCGAGTTGTCAAGATCCAACTGTAATTTTTTGATTATTCTACTTTCGTTATTTAGCCCGCAGGTCACGGGATCGCAGTGAATGTTGCACCACAGCGTCACATACGACTTGTGTCTGGGAATCAGAACAATGTTGCCGCATCAGTTTTCTTCCATCCCCATCACCGCTGAAAGTGCAAAGCGTGTAATTCGGTTTCAGGAGTGATTCTTGCATGTTCTCAAGTTTTTTTTTTTTTTAAAGACGTTCGTAATCAGCACTGCGTATTCATTTTTGATTTTTTTCCATCGCAGAAGAGCTCGGTTTGCTCAATGCGTCGGTAACAATAATGCATTTCCAACTGCAAGAACGTGGAATTGCTTGTTGTGATGTGCTTTTATAATCGCCTCGATCCGCGCAAATACGAAAGGGGAGGAGATCATGAGGCTAAGTCATCGTTTCAGTGTTTTGTATTGGTTAAAGCGAATTTTTGGAGTGATCTGTTTTTTTTTTTTTTTTTTTTTTTTTTACTTCCATCCCCATCACCGCTGAAAGTGCAAAGCGTGTAATTCGGTTTCAGGAGTGATTCTTGCATGTTCTCAAGTTTTTTTTTTTTTGGAACGCTGTGCATTATATGATAGGTCACTCATAAACTTCTTGGAATTCGTATGCGTCTTGTATATTTACTTCACTCTTCGAAGGTGTGAATTGATTCGCAATATCTACCTTTCTGCGATCTTCAACGGAAGCCCTAGCACCACTTTCCAACTCCGCTTTAAAATCCTCTCCCGAAAATGGACTCTCATTGGTGATTGTATTAGACCAATGAAATATCAAGAAAATTGACTGATCGGTGATTGAATTAGACCAATGCAATATCCGCGAATTATGCCATTTTAACATCTTTTGACGGGAAATAATGGGAGAAGTGTCGAAGCTTTTATGCGAAGAACAGAAAATTTTATTTCCAAAACAGTACATCATCTTTTTTTCAATTTTCTTCAGGAGAAACATGCTCGTCGAAGCTCAAGGTAATACTCTTTGAAGCTAAATACTGAAACTGCTGGTTTGAATTGACATGTATGATCATGATCAACTCTCTCAACCAAGGTTGCTATTTACTGTATTTATAACTGATCTACTCATGTAGCAATGCTCGGGATAACCTCAATTAAGATTTCGGCTACCAATAAAACCGCAATTAACTACAGTACAGTATGCATGAAAGGGTAAGAACGTTTGTTGCAATTGAATTGGAAAGTTCGCTATGAAGATATTTTTATGCAATAATTATACCCAATAGGATTTTTTCCAGGACTTGAAAAGAAGTTCGTTATTTTGAAAAATTTGTTGCAAGAATATTTGTTATTATAGCTATAGATTTAAATACAATTCTTTGTGATATCTGTATCGCCCAATTTCAGTATAAGGCTGAAAATGGAATCTTGTTCTGGAACAATTACATGCGGAGTGTACCATATATAGTGGTAGACTTGCTTTCCTTCTTATTCTGGATTGAATCTTGGGAATGCATGCTGAGCAAAAAATTCGGATGTTCGAGATAAAATATACAAAACTACTGTACAATCAAGAAAACACAGCATTTCATTCGAAAATCAGGTTTTCCTTTCCCCATTTCATCACGCTTCATCAACAACATTGCCTTATAAATCATCACCCAAGGCAGTGAAATCACAACAGAGGAATGGCCAAACATATTCTTGTTTCAATTGCAACAATCAACCCACGCAAAAAGAGACAGAAACAAATGGTATCTTCTCTCGCACGCATCAAAATAAAACAAATTTACAGATGAATGCGTCGTACGTAATAGTGTTATTGCAAAATGCCAAAGTTGAACAATTTTTTTTTTCATTGCTGCGCTTTCTGTTCCAAATCTTGTTTATTTGCGCGATAAAAATAATTTCAATCGTCATTTAGCTCACGATTGACCTTGAGTATGCGTTCATTTCTGCGGGTCTTGTTTCAATTTTTCTCCATCTGCTGCTGCTTCAGGTGCTGCTTGATTGATTACAAGCTCCTCATTCTTTGTTCTGTCTGGAATGGCAGGCAAAAGAGCGACATCTGAACCCACAGCCTGTAGTTGTGTGCTTTCTTCTTGTTCATTTCTCTCCACGTGGCTGTTCAATGAAGCATAAACCATGTTCCTTCCGAATGGTCTCAGGTGATACACGAAATAGTCGAGGGTGTAAAAATGCGGAGCTGGCACATAATGAAAGGATATTGCTGTGTCTGAGCAGCATCCTGGCCCCTAAAATCAAAGCGAAGCTTGAATCAATCGAAATGGGCTGTTGAACCATCTAAAAAAAAAATCTAACCAAAACTTTGCTGTAGACGTCAGCAAAAGCAAAACTTATAATAAACGTAATTATTCGAGGCATCTCTTCTTGAAATACAGTAAAATATCCTTCCGAGCACGTAGTCATTCAGACCAGTAAAATCGCTTTGTTGTACCAAAAAATTCGCGTTGAAGTGACTCATTTAATCTTATTGTGAATATTTTGGGCTGGGATCTGGAGAACGACTTCGTCCCGTATGAACGATTATTCGCGTATAAGGAATTTTTTGTAGCAAGATTCTACTGCATAAGAATAATAAGGTAAAGCTCACGAGCTTCAAGCTTCTTTTTCGCGGACGAGGAAATCTTTGCGTTAAATTATCATGACTGAAATTCTTGTATAAAGACTGCTTTTTAAAACATCTATTTTCACGATTTATAATTCAAGATTCCATCAGATGTAATATTCAATAATGAAATCGACTCACGGCGACCATCGAAGTCTACGATGGGATGCACATTTTTTATTGTTGCCGAAAATTAGTTTTAAATGCATATTCCACAAAGGACAAGTCGGAAATACTTCAATTCCAAGTACAATACGAAATTGTAAGTTTAAAGCATTAAGAATTGAAGAGAATCCATACTCGCAAACTGCATTTCTCGGTTTCTTTTGTACGAATAACATATCAGTGCGAAATAAAGGGAGAATTTATCATGAAAATTATCCTTCGCATCAGAGCCATTGAAATAATCAAGTGAAAATGCACGACGCAAAACTATCCTCTGCAGAATTCAAGTCAAGCTAAAAAAAATGTCGGGACAAACCTCTTCGTAAGGATACTTGATGTAGTCCCAGAACCAAAAATCTTTTCCCATTTTATCCGGGCTGACGTGCGTTTCCGGCGTGAATGGGAAAAATCGCCAACGCTTTTCGGAGTCCCTCGAATCTCCCGCCGTGACATTCAATTTATCCAAACAGATTCCTATTTTGGACAACGAAAAAAGGAATCAATAGTTTTTGGATGATAATAAGATGAAAAAGAGTTCGATCATCGACTATATTACTTGTACTGTACAGTGTAAACCGAATAACGTTTCCTATGAATAGGAGTTTCGCCAACGTCGATCAACGTCATTCTTTGACATTAATTACTATCGTATATATTACAACTTTTGAGACTTGTTCAATTTTTATTCATCAGCTTTCAATCAAGTCATTTCTTGGTATTACAGGGTAAATCAACCATGCATGATTTTATATCTTCTATTTAAATTCAATTTTCAAATTAAAATATATTATTTTTCAATTTTCTGTAATTATATAAAAAAAATTTTTTAAACATTGATGGATCACTGGTATCTTAATTTTAGCAAAAGGTAATTTGGCCTACTGGTACACATTTGTATGACAGTCTAAGAGGCCTGAATACCCTCTGCAAGGTGTGTTCCCCACGTGAGCTGTTGCTCCCACAAGGTTCAGATGGGTTCTGAGGATGGGGGATCCTGGTATCTACATATGGGTCAGTATTCCCAGTGAAGAGAATTCAGTTAGGCAAGTAGTAACCTTCCCCAGGCTAACAGTGCCCTTGCCTGCGGGTTTGTTCTTGCATACAATCCTACTTTATCAAATGCATGTTTGAGTATTGTAAAAATTAAGGTCAGATGTGGGAAATTTGAGCCAAAATTTTCTAGATTACACATTCCTGAATCTGAAATGAAGACACGCATCTATTCAAAAGTCAAGAATGTATATGTCATTAACAAAAATACATTTTTTGAACTGATTCCATGACATGTATCATACGTGTGGTGAATGATCTTGCAAATAATTGAATACAGAATGGTCATATGACAGGCTTATTAAAAACCCGAAAAAAGTTACATTTGGTAAAACTTCGTAAAAATGGAAATTGAATTTCTCAAAGTTTCTTCAGGAAATTTCAATTAAGTTCAACTGATATTTTGAGCTGCTGATGGAGACATGACTTGAAAAAGTACAGTATTTCACTGTATGTTGGCTGCAACGAAATAATTGCGCCTATAATTGGGAAAAAGTATTGCACCATAAAAAATTAATTATTTTATGAAAAAAACTTCATTCAGATCCCACAAAAATTTGAAAAGAAGGATAATGAATCTTTTTAAATCTTTTCATAGATAATCTCAATGCAACAAATGTTTGAACATATACTTCGAACTTTCTTCGAAATCTGAAAACGTTTGGTATTTGAAACAGGATTCCACAGTTTTTTTTAAAACACTGAATGGATTGAATTTCACCTATACAGTGTCAACTAAAATAAAAAAATGAAGTGTTCTGAGAGGCCAACCATCGTAGTTTCAATATGCTCAACTCGAAATGTTTCTAAATTATTTGTTGCTTGAAATGCTGATGCCATGATTATCCCATCAATCATAAGTTCTTCTTCTCCAGCCTCGAAAATCAAGCTCAAATCACGCGATATTAATAACAAAGGGCCTAATCATGGCAAATTCCGTCTGCCGTTTTCGTGAATATTTTTTTATTTGAATATAGAAAGAGACAGAGAGAGACAGAGAGAAAAAAGGTGGCCAAAATTTGCTCAGCATCCGGCGAATTTTTTTTACGCACCTAATTCGGCATCTTCGGCTCCGTGTCCGTCTGCCCGACACAGGCTGGGATTCGGCATCGCTTC